TCATGATCTCTCTGTCATGGGTTGGAGCCCCGAGTAGGGTTCCAAGCTCAGCAAGGAGTCTCCTTGTCCCTCTCCCTCTGCTCCCCCACCCCCACCCCCTGCTGGCTCGCTCTCTCTCAAATAAATTATTTAGAAAGAAAGAAAGAAAGAAAGAAAGAAAGAAAGAAAGAAAGAAAGAAAGAAAGAAAGAAAGAAAGAAAGAAAGAAAGAAAGAAGAGAGAAAGAAAGAAAGAAAGAAAGAAAGAAAGAAAGAAAGAAAGAAAGAAAGAAAGAAAGAAAGAAAGAAAATCTTACAAAGAAAGAAAGTTCTATCCATATAGGAACAGATTGTCTGTGTTGTCCCTGTACTCCTTCTTTCTCTTCCCTTAGGATGAGATTCTGGGAGTTCTCTACAACACCAACAGTGTAGAGCAATCTACCATGTGTGCAGATGTCTGTAGTTGATTTTGTGTGTAGCTATTTGCTAAGTAGTATCGCAGTAAAATGTAACAGGATTGACTTCACTACAGGCAATTTCAGCTGTGAAAATCACATTCCTTAGTATGTTTTCTCCTTCACACGTAGGTTACTACAAGATAAAAGTAGGCTATAGGCTTCATCTCTTCTCTCCTTCTAGAGAAAGTGGATGCCATACCCTATCAAACTGCACTTGCCCCCTCCTTACTCCTAGAGTTTTTATTTTCACCTTTCTAGCATCAGTGCTGGATTACCCAGATGGCCCACTGGATACTAGCAAATCAGGGTACCTTCTCTCCAAAGGAAAAAGAGAATTGAAAACAGTATTAAGATATCTGATGTTTTTCTAAAGATAGAAAGCTTCTACATCCAATTCCCATGTGTGGGTTTTCCCTCCATATATCCAAGCAATTCTCTGATACCAGTTGGGGGTCCTACAATTAAACTCAATTCTGACATGCTCTACCCAGAGACAGCATCAGATTCCACAGGCTAATGGGGCTGCATCCCCACCAGATTTCCCTCCACTTCGGATGCCAAAAGCAAGCGTAGGATGTTACCTGTGCTTCTGGCTGAATGGCTATAAATCTCTGGCTCCCCATAACCCCCTCCTTGGGTTTGCTTAATTTGCTAGAGCGGCTCACAGAACTTGGGAAGCCAGTTTACTCATTACATCACTGGTTTATTACAAAAGCATATAACGCATCAATTTCCAGATGGAAGAGATGCATAGGGCAAGATATGGGTAAAGGGCATGGAGCTTCCACGGCCTCCAGTCAAACCACTATGCCCAAATCTCCACCTGTTCACTCCCCTGGAAGCTCTTCAAACCCCGTCCTTTTTTGGGATTTTACGGAGGCTTCAAAACATAGGTATGATTGATCAAATCTCCAGTCACTTGTGATTGAAGTCAACCTCCAGCCTCCCCACCTCCCCCGAGATCAGGGGTTGGGACTGAAAGTTCCAACCCTCCGATCATGTAGTTGATTCCTCTGGCAACCATCCTTAGGTCATCTCACTAACAAAAGACATCTTTATCACTCTCAGCCATTAGGAAATTGCAAGGCTTTTAGGAGCTCTGTGCCAGAAACAGGGACGAAGACCAAATATATATTTATTATAAATCACAATATAGAGAGCACTAAAGCAGTCCTTAGGAGAAAAACCAAACCTTTGTTGGGCTTCCTTACACTCATCTTATGGATTAGTACTGTTTTTACTTTGATTTCCCTATGGGAGTTGGGCGCATTTCCTTTACTACTGACTGGGGTCCTGAGTCCTCCAAAGCACAGAGCCTTAAGACAAAGATCGATTGTTAACAATTTTGGGGCAGAGATGCAAGCCCAGGTCAGGGAAGATAAGGACAAACAAAAAGGGAAGCCAGGCAAACTAAGAAGCAGTGCAATGCAATGCAGGTTACCACCCTGGCCAGAGAGAGCCTTGAAAAGATCTAGCATGTCACTCAGTAGGTTCATTCGCTTGGCATGTGTTGAAAGAGACTGTAGAAAGCATTTTAAATGTCTTATTTCATAGAGGAGGACACTCAGTTTTATTTCCTGGGAAAACAACAGACAATGTAAAATCTATTACATTTATAACACATTAAAATGTCGTCTTAGTAGCACCTTTGACTTCTCCCTATCCTGCTCCCCGCATATCCATCATCACCAGCCCTATCTCTCTTTCACTTCAAATCTCACTGCCCACTTGGCTTCTTCATAGTTCTCTCACCAGAATGAATAAAACACCGTCTATGGACTCTCTGTCCCCATCCCTCCTTCCTCAAGTCACTTCAAACTGCCTTTTGAAAGACAATAGCTCTGGGGCACCTGGGTGGCACAGTCGGTTAAGCGTCTGACTCTTGGTTTCAGCCCAGATCGTGTCTCAGTGTCGTGAGATGGAGCCCTGCATCGGGCTCTGTGCTGCTTCAGATTCTCTCTCTCTCCCTCTGCCCTTCCTGCTCGTGCTCTCTTTCTCTCTCTAAAATAAATAACTAAGGGGCGCCTGGGTGGCTCAGTCCTTAAGCGGCTGCCTTCAGCTCAGGTCGTGATCTCAGGGTCCTGGGATCGAGCCCCGCATCGGGCTCCCTGCTCAGCGGGAAGTCTGCTTCTCCCACTCCCCCTGCTTGTGTTCCCTCTCTCGCTGTGTCTCTCTCTGTCAAATAAATAAATAAAATCTTTAAAAATAAATAAATAAATAAGTAAATAAAATAAAATAAATAAATAAATCTAAAACTTATATTTAAAAAAAGAAAGAAAAATAATAGCTCTGATCTCATCATTCTTCTGAAATATGCCTTCAGTAACTCCCTGATGCCTACAGCAAACTTGATCTTGGGTCAGAATCACTAGAGGGATCAATAAAACACAGATAGCTAAGACCCACCCCCACCAAAGTTTCTAACCGTGTAGATGTGAGATTGCACCCCAGAATTTGCATTTCTGGTAAGTTCCAGGTGATGTTGATGCTGCTGGTCTGGGCACCACACTTTGAGGATCACTGGCTTAGACTATAAAGTTCAAATGTCACAGCACGGCCCTCAGGGATTTCTCATTCTATTTTGCTCGCCTCATGTCCTGTTCTCTCCACCAAGCCCCGCCATGGTCCACTCACACCAGACTATCAACTTTTCCAAGCCACCGTCTATACCTCGCTTCTTCTGGCCTTTGCTCTACCTGTCCTCTCGGGAATACCCCTCTGCCTCATTTTCCACTTAGAAATGTCCTACTCTTCATTCCAGGTCTCACCCGAATGCCACTACTCTTGGAACTTCCCTTCAATCTTGTCTTCAAATTTTGATTCTCTTATTTTCTTGTGTTCCTAATACTTTATACATATCTTTATTAATGTGATATCAAAATCCACTGCCTTGGGACTGCATCAGCTCCATCCTGTGACCTGATTGCTGGTTGAGTTCAGCAATGCAAAGTACCAGGAAGGTAGGGGGAGCTAGTGGGAACTTATTTGGGGAACTTACTTCCCTTGCTGTCTCCAGAAAGTAGCCATGGCTTCCCTGTAATGGCTCTCTCCTATAGGTAAAAAGCTCTTACCAGGTTTGAAGCTGCCACCTCCGCCCCTCTGGCCAACTTAGTAGTCTTTTAAGTTTTAGCAAGCACTTTTAGGCCACTTGATTGATTAACTAAACCTTTTTTTGTGGATCTATCATGCACTGTTTTCTAGAAACACCTAGAACCAAACACACTTGCACAGCCCACCCCCCCCCCCCAACCCCGCACCAATACACAACGTCCCAGCACAGTGATAACAGCACATTGGTGGCTGGTGCCACTGAGTCTGTACGGAATCAAGAAGAGTTACAGACCACTGTGCTCCCCTTTTTACCGATTAATTGCCCTAAGTTTTTTCTCTTTTAAAGATTTTATTTATTTATGACAGAGAAAGCGAGAGCGCACAAGCAGGGGGAGCAGTAGAGGGAGAGGGAGAAGCAGGCTCCCTGCTGAGTTAACCATCTGAGCCACCCAGGGGCCCCCTTAATTTTCTTTAAAAAGAAACCTCTAGGGGCGCCTGGGTGGCTCAGTCCTTAAGCGGCTGCCTTCAGCTCAGGTCATGGTCCCAGAGTCCCGGGATCCAGCCCCACATCGAGCTCCCTGCTCCGCGGGAAGCCTGCTTCTCCCTCTCCTACTCCCCCTGCTTGTGTTCCCTCTCTCGCTGTCTCTCTCTGTCAAATAAATAAATAAAATCTTAAAAAAAAGAAAAGAAACCTCTAAGCTGGGTTTTGGACAAGAGTCTGCCTTCTCCCCAGGTGGCCGACCTCCTGAAAAACCTAATACTCCTTTCCAACCAGGAGTATTGGCCTTTGGAGCGAAGTGCTGCTGAACTTGCCTTCAGGTCTCAGGCTCAGTACACAGTCCTCCCCTGCCCCTTCAGCCTACACGGTAAGGGGAAGGGGAGGCTGCTGCGCCATTTCTCAGTGGTTTCCCTTAATCCTTTGCTTCCACCTATAAAGGTAATTCCTTTATTAAACTCTCTTCAATTACCCACTTTGAGTATACAGGTTGCCCAAACTCCTTTTCAAAAGTTCGCCTTTACTGCCACTTTGCTTTTGTGACAGACAGAAATCCGAAGAGTATTTCAGACTTTGCCTCCTTTAATCCCCATGATAATATGAAGTAGCTAAACCCACTGCACAGATTTAATCACTGGGGTTCCACACCTGATGAATCGCAGAGCCCAGAATTTGTCTGACAGCAACGTCTGTCCCAAATGGGTGATATAATCTTGAGGCGCTGTTTCAGACCATAAAACCACAACGTAGGCAGTAGTGATTTTCAGAGAAAAGAAAGTGAAAGAAAAGGCACGAGCCCGTTGGGTGGGGCCGGGGCCGCGTGAGTGGAGGTGCGGAACTGGGGAGGGCTGCACCCTGCTCCCCCGGGCCCAGAGCCCCAGACGTCGGAAGAACTTGGGCACGAACTTGCGCCTGTGTGCACGGAGCGCAGGAGATCGGGAGGCAAGAGCGTGAGGTCGGCCGCAGCCCGGCAGCCCGCCCCGCTGGCTGGCGCCCTTCCTCCGGGAGGATGGTGAGGGGCGCCAGGGGCGGGAGTGCGGAGGGCGGCGCGGGACTTTGCAGCACGGGGAGCCCACGGAGACCTCACGGGCCTCGAACCCCCTCTCCCTGGGGTGGAGCTTACCACCCTGACTTGTCCGGGAAGAGAGTAGAGTGCGGGGCATCGTTTTCCATGGAATCTTTGGTCCCTTTCCCCGCAGTTTTTACAAGTGCCTTATAAATTAGAGATCGTCATCTTTCATCTGTGATATATGTTATGGCTCTTTCCTTTCAGTTTGTCATTTGCCTTCTGAGCTTGCTGGTGGTGGCTTTTCCCCCATGCAAACGGTTTTTATTTTTATAGTAAAATTTACCAATTTTTTAATTTTCTTGCATTTGGAATTTTGGTCATATTTTAAAAGCTTTCCCCATCACCCAGGTTATAGTCATCCATTTATTTGTAATGCTTTATTTTTTACATTTAGATCTTTGATACATTTTGAGTTTATTCTTGTTTATGGTTTGAGGAATGGATCAAATTTTGTCTTTTTTCCAAATGGGTATCCAGTTGTCCCAACACCATTTATTAAAAAGATTAGTACTGCCTTAGTAACTTGAGATACCACCTTTATCATATACTAGATTTTTATATGTATTTTGACTGTTTCTAGAACTTCTATTCCATTGACATGTTTATTCATCTGTTGCAGAGAGGCTCTGTTATATATTCTAATGTCAGGGCTAGTTCCCCTAACAACTCTTCCTTCCCGCTGTTTTCCTAGCTATTCTTTTGTGCTTATCTTTACTTAGGAACTTTAGGATTGACTTCTGATTTATGATCAGTGGCAAAAAAAAAAAAAGCTCCCATTGGGATTTGTATTGGATTTGCATTAAACTTATAAATTACAGACAGCTGACATCTTGAGATGGTGTTGAGATGTTCTAACCAAGAACAAAGGATGCCATTTCTTTGTTCTGGTTTACTTTTGTGTCTTTAAAGAGTGTTTATAGTTTTCTTACATAGAATATTTTCTTGTTAAGTTTGTTTCTAAACATTTTATCTTTTTTTTTTCTATTGTACATGAGGTTTTTCATTCACTGTATCTTCTCTTTGTGTATATGAATGCTGTTGACTTCCTTTCATTTTAAAAATTAAGGTATAATTTACATACAGCAAATTCATACTTTTTAATGTACAGTTCTGTGAGTTTTGACAGATGAATACAATCTTGTAACAACCACAAGAGATAAAAGAGATAAAGATATTAAAAAGTTTCATCAACCCCCCCCCCCAAATTCCCACTGGTTCCTTTGTAATCAACCTCTTCACTCAAGGTGCGTCCCTGGCAAATACTGGTCAAATTTTGGTCCCTATAGTTCCAGAATGTCATAGAAGTGGAACCATGCAGCACATGGTCTTTTGAGCCTTGCTTCTTTCACTTAGCATAATGCAGTTGAGTTTCATCCATGTAGTTAGACCTATTGCTAATTTGCTGTTGCTTTCTAATTTAATTCCACAGTGATTGGAGAACATGCTTTGTGTTATTTGAATCCTTTTAAATTTATAAGTTGAGATTTGTTTTCTGGACAGAATATGGTCTATCTTGATAAATACATTCCCATGGACAGTTCAAAGTGTGTTCTGTTGTTGGGTGAAGTGTTCTATCAGCATCCATTAGATTAAGTTGATTGAAAGTGTTGTTCAAGTCCTCATATCCTTACTGATGTTATGACTAGTTGAACTATCAATTACTGAGAAAGGATGCTGAAATCCCCAAGTATAATTGTAGACTTATTTCTCCTTGAAGTTCTATCCATTTGGGCTTTGTATGTTTTGAAAGTCTGTTGTTAGGTGTATATATATTTAGGATTGTTAATTCCCCTCGATGAATCTGTTTATCATTTCAGAAGAAGTAGAATAAAAGTTCTTATATTTATAAACATGTATAAATATATAAATATAGAATCTATAGTGATATATTGAAATTTATAATATTACATATTATATAGATTTATAGAAATATATAAATATAGAACTTTTAATCTATTACTTTTGGAGTGTTTTTTTTTTAAGAGAGCAAGAGATCATGAGCAGTTGGGGAGGGGTAGAGGGAGAGGAAAAGAGAGAATCTTAAGCAGGCTCCAAGTTCAGCAGAGCCCCACATGGGGCTCAATCTCACAACCCTGAAATCATGACCTGAGCCAAAATCAAGAGTTGGGTGAACCGCTGAGCCACCCAGGTGTCCCTACATTTGGAGTGTTTAAAATTAACATTTTTAACCCATTGGGGGCTAATATTATTGTAGTTAGTTGTTGATTATGACATATGAATTTATATCTAATTTTCTTCATAATGAAAACTAATATCCCAACAATATTTATTAAATTATGATTCATCTCTTTACTTTCTTATTCCTCTTAATACTTCATGTTAAGCTTTTTGATAGATTAAGGTTTATATCTGAAATTTCTATTGTACCTCCTGTCATATCATCTATTCTTAATTTAGAACTATTTAGCTTTATAATTACTGCTTAATGATGCATTAAAAAAAATTGGGTGGAGGATACAGAAAGTTCCCATATACCACCTGCTCCGCCCCTAACTCCCCCATTATCAATATCTCACACCAGAGTGGTGCATTTGTTACAATTGGTGAATCTACATCGACACATTATTATCAAAGTTCATAGTTTACATTAGAGCTTGATCCTGGTGTTGTACATTCTATTGAGTTTTGACAAATGTTTAATAACATACATCCACCATTATAGTATCATACAAAATAGGTTCACTGCCCTAGAAATCCTCTGTGCTCTGCTGTTCATCCTTCCCTTTCCTCTAATTCTTGGCACCCACTGATCTTTTTACTGTCTCCATAGTTTTGCCTCCAAATGTTATATAGTTGGAATCATATGTTATTAGCCTTTTCAGATTGGCTTGTTTCACTTAGTAATATGCATTTGTTTCCTCCACATTTTTTTAGGCTTGAGAGCTCATTTATTTTTAGCACTGAACAATATTCCATTGTCTGAATGTACCATATATTTATCCATTTACCTATTGTAGAACATCTTAGTTGCCTCCAAATTTTGGCAATTATGAATAAAGCTGCTATAATCATCCATGTGTAGGTTTTTGTATAGACATAAATTTTTAACTCTTTAAGCGGCATGATTGCTGGATTGTATGGGAAGAATATGTTAGTTTTATAAGAAACTATCAAACTGTCTTGCAAAGTGAACACCATTTTCATTCCCACCAGCTATACATGAGAGTTCCTGTTGTTCCACATCCCTTGCCTGCGTTTGGTATTATCACCATTCCACTAGGTGTGTAGTGGTATCTCATCGTTATTCTAATTTACATATCCCCAATGACGTAAGATATTGAGCATCTTTTCATATATTCATTTGCCATCTGTATATATTCTTTGGTGAGGTGTCTGTTGAGGTCTTTTGCCCATTTTAAAATCAGGCTGTTTTCTTTTTTTTTAAGATTTTATTTATTTATTTGAGAGAGAGAGAGCGTGAGAGAGAGAGAGCATGAGCAGGGGGGAGGAGCAGAGGGAGAGGGTGAAGCAGACTCCCTGCTAAGCAGGGAGTGCAATATGGACTTGATCCTAGGACCCTGGGATCATGACCTGGGCCGAAGGCAGACGCTTCACCGACTAAGCCACCCAGGTGCCCCAGGTTGCTTTCTTATTGTTAAATTGTAAGAGTTCTTTATATTTTTGGATAACAGTTTTTTTTATCAGTTATGTCTTTTGCAAATATTTTCTTCCAGTCTGTGAAAAGATGCATTTTAAAGTGTGAAAGTGCATTTCATTTGGTATTGTCTTGGTTTTGTTTTTTTTTTAATTTTATTATGTTATGTCACCATACATTACATCACTCCTTTTTGATGTAGTGTTCCACGATTCATTGTTTGCAAATAACACCCAGTGCTCCATTCAGTACATGCCCTCCTTAATACCCATCACCGGGCTAACCCATCCCCCCACCTCCCTCCCCTCTAAAACCCTCAGTTTATGTCTCAGAGTCCATCGTCTCTCATGGTTCATCTCCCACTCCGATTCCCCCCCTGCTTCATTTTTCCCTTCCTACTATCTTCTTTCCTTTTTTTTTTTTTTAACATGTAATGTATTCTTTTTTTCAGAGGTACAGGTCTGTGATTCATCAGTCTTATACAATTCACAGTGCTCACCATAGCACATACCCTCCCCAATGTCTATCACCCAGCCACCCATCCCTCCCACCCCCCACCACTCCAGCAACCCTCAGTTTGTTTCCTGAGATTAAGAATTCCTCATATCAGTGAGATCATATGATACTTGTCTTTCTCTCACTGACTTACTTCGTTTAGCATAATATCCTCTAGTTCTATCCACGTCGTTGCAAATGGCAAGATTTCGTGTTTTTTGATGGCTGCATAATATTCCATTGTGTATATATACCACATCTTCTTTATCCATTCATCTGTTGATGGACATCTTGGCTCTTTCCAAAGTTTGGCTATTGTGGACATTGCTGCTATGAACATTGGGGTGCATGTACCCCTTTGGATCGCTACATTTGTATCTTTGGGGTAAATACCCAGTAGTGCATTTGCTGGGTCGTAGGGTAGCTCTATTTTCAACTTTTTGAGGAACCTCCATACTGTTCTCCAGAGTGGCTGCACCAGCTTGCATTCCCACCAACAGTGTAGGAGGGTTCTCCTTTCTCCGCATCCTCGCCAACATCTGTCGTTTCCTGGATTGTTAATTTTAGCCATTCTGACTGGTGTGAGGTGATATCTCATTGAGGTTTTGATTTGGATTTCCCTGATGCTGAGTGATGTTGAGCACTTTTTCATGTGTCTGTTGGCCATTTGGATGCCTTCTTTGGAAAAATGTCTGTTCATGTCTTCTGCCCAGGTATTGTCTTATTTTTTAAAATACATTTTACTTTCATTTTGTCAAATTTTATAAATTACCATATTGGTATCTTAACTGGACTTGAATTAAGAGATTTTATATATTATATCTATAACTTGGAGAGTATTATCACTTGTAATGTATTTATGCAAGTGCAGAGAATATCAAGACTTTATTTTCACCATTAATAATTCTCTTAAAGTGATCTCATATATCCTTATCTACATTTTCTCTAAGAATTGATTTATTGATTCTTGTTTTTTTTTTTTTAAGATTTTATTTATTTGACAGAGAGAGACACAGCGAGAGAGGGAACACAAGCAGGGGGAGTGGGAGAGGGAGAAGCAGGCTTCCCGCAGAGCAGGGAGCCCGATGCGGGGCTCCATCCCAGGACCCTGGGATCATGACCTGAGCCGAAGGCAGACGCTTAACGACTGAGCCACCCAGGCGCCCCTGATTCTTGTTTTTTAATAACAGTTTTGAGATATAACTTACATGCCGTAAAATTCACTCTTTAAAGGTGTACAATTCAATGGTTTTAGTATATTCACAGTGTTCACCACTATCTATTGTTAGAAATTTTCATCACCCCAAAGAAACTCTGAAGTGCATTTGCAGTCACTCCCATTTCCCTCCTCCCCATAGATCGTGGTAACCACTAATATACTTTAGTCTTTGTGAATTTATGTATTTTGGACATTTCATATAAATAAGATCATATAGTATGTGGCCTTTTGCCACTGACTTCTTTCACTTAGCATGTTTTCAAGCTTCCTTACTGTTGATGAATATATCAAAACTTTGCTACTTTTTATTGCCAGATAATATTCCATTGTATGGATATACAACTTTTTATTTATCTATTCGTCATCTGACGGACATTTGGTTATTTTTACTTTTTGACTATTGTGAATAATGCTGCTATGAACATTTGTTGTCTCAGGCAACTTGGGCTGCTAGAAAAAATACCATAGACTGGGTGGCTTAAACAACACTGATTTCTCATAGTCTGGAGGCTGGAAGTATGAGGTCAGGAGTTCTTGGTGAGGACCCTCTTCCTGATTTGCAGATGACCCCTCTTGCTATTTTCTCACTTGGCAGAGAGCTCTGGTCTTTTCATCTTCTTATAAGGACACGAATTCTTTCATGGTGGTTTCACTTTCATGACCTCATCTAAACCTAATTACTTCCCATCTGACCCCATCTCCAAATACCATCAATCACATTGAGGATTAGGACTTTAACATCTGAATTTTGGGGGCACACAAACATTCTGCCCGTAGCATTTGTGAACAAGTTTTTATGTGGACATATGTTTCATGTCACTTGGGTATATTCCTATCTGGGTGTAAAAACATGTGGGTCATATGGTAACTCTAACTTTTTGAGGAATTGCAAAACTGTTTTCCTAAGTGGTTGTACCATGTTACAGTCCCACCAGCAAGATATGAGGGTTCCAATTTCTCCACATCCTTGTCAACACTTGTTATTGTCCATCTTTTAAAATTTTAGTTATTCTAGTAGTTGTGAAGTGGTTTTGATTTTCATTCTCTTAATGACTAAGGATGTTCAACATTTTATTATGTCCTTATTGGCCATGTGTATATCATCCTTGGAGAGGTGTCTATTCAAATCCTTTGCCTATTTTTAAACTCGATTATTTGCTTTTTTTATTGTTGAGTTGTAAGAGTTCTTTATATATTCCAGATACAAGTCCTTTATCAACTATGATTTGCAAATCCTTTCGCCCATTCTGTGGGTTGTCTTTTCACTTTGTTGATGGTGTTGATGATTTTAAAATCTTTCACAATATGTGGCTGTAGTATTTGTAAAAAATGATTGGTTTTGGTATCTTTTCCATTGCTATATTTATCGTCATTTCTTTTTGCCACCTTATTTTGATGGCCAGGAAGAATTTTGAAAAATATATCAAATAGAAGTGGCAACAGAGAACATTTTTAGTTTTTGTTTTATTTTGTTTTTTCACTACTCTTCTGAGTTCAGAGTAAGCCTCTTTATTGTGCTAAAAGTTCCTTTATTTCTCTTTCAAGTGTTAAGAACAATGAAAAATGAAAGTAATAATCTCTGCTCTCCCCATAAATGGCTACCCCATACCCAGTCTTCTTTGTGAATGTGCAGCATTTTTTATTTTGGTTATCTATAGATTGCCCTTTCATTTTGCAGTAATAAAAACTTCTTTCTTTTCAGTAATGAGTTGTAGCTCTAGTAATTTATGTCAGTGGAAGAACATCATTATTTATTGTCATGTTTGTTATTTTTTTCCCTGTGATTTGGTGAGTAAATCTGACTTAACAAAGAATAAGGGTTAACTTTATGCAGTCATTTAGCCAGAATGACTGTCTTTTTTTTTAACAAGGCAATGAGTGAAATCTATTTTCTTCCAAAGCATTTAAAACATCGGAAAGTAATATAAAGGCCAAATCCTTTCAAATCTCAAATCAGATGTAAAAACTAACATCTTAAGTGTTTCTGTCTCTCTCAAAATTGCTAAGTTGGAAGACCTCAGTACAAAAGTAATGCTTTTCAGAAGAGTGGATAAAACAGATGAACTGGAAGTGGATGACATAAGTGAATTTTCAAAAGACCCTTCACAAGTTTCCCTTTTGGTTGCATTTCACAATATCCAAGACACCATGACGGAGAATGTGCTCTCCTTGCTTATGGAGTCGATTAGTGGCCTGTCAGAAGCCAATGGTGACTTCAGAGTGGAAGTAATACCCAATATTAAAGTTGCTGTCATGACTTTTCTCCAAAAATACTGGTAAGACAGACAATACCTTTTAACCTTTCATTTGCAAATTGTGGTTGTATCCTACTTTGAGATTCCAGGCATCCCACAGTGGGTTTTGTTTAAAAGTTGTACTCTAACTCCCGTAAGATAATTGCCAAGGGATTGTGTATTATTCCTTCTGGTACTACTAATACCTAGCATTTATCAAGCGCCTTGCTCTATGCTAAGCACTGTGCTGAGTTTTTACTTACTTCATCTCAAAACATGTAGCACTATGAGATAGGTACATTATTATCCCCATTTTACAGATGAAGAAATCCAGGTTTCAAGAAAATTAAATGACTTGGTCACAGTCACACAGCTAGTAAGTATTTGAATCAGAATTCCAAATTAGACATTCTGACTTCTGAGTGTATTTTCTTAACCATTGTGAATGTGCCCTCAAATCCCATGAGCTTAATAGTTATAGGAGTTTATTTTTATGACAATGATATGTCCAAATAGAGACCAAGATATGGTGAAGTAAGGCGGGGGTGGGGGAGAGAGAAATTAGATTTAGGAAACAATATTGTATTATAATCATCATCATTATTATTATCAGCTTACAAAGTGACTGCACATACTTGATTTCATCTAGAAAGGTAGCTATTGATCTATGTTCCCAAAATGGTCTTAAGTGGAGGCCACTGTTAATGATAGCTGTGCACTCATGCACTCACAGTAAGCAATGTGGGATAGGTTGAAGTTGACACTGTGAAATTTAAATTTATGTAGAAATATAGTATCTAAATTTTAATTCTTAGTTACAGCCTCTAAATCAAATTACTCTTTCAAATCTGTTTTCTTTTGCTATGAAATGAAATTATAGTACCAACAAACTGATTTTTATTTGTAGATGTCAGGACATCTGTTATGTTTTTGTTGGACACAATAGAGTTCAGCAACTTCAGATTTTCCCAAGACTTCTGGAACTGACAAGAACCATCAGGGTTGAAAATCTGCCACCTCGTGTTGATAAGAGTTATGTAACAACTTTCTTTGAGAACCCCACAAATGGAAGAGAAGGAGTAACCAATGTGCAGCTTTTCCCAGAGAAGAGTTCAGCCCTGGTTGAGTTTTCTGACTACAAAGGTAATCAATTTCTCTTCTTTCTTGATCTTTAACCATTTCATGCACAAATGAAGTCAAATTAGAGGCCACACAAATGATTAGGAAATCCATCAAAGCCACCCATTCTTACTGGAATATGCCATGAATTAACTCAAGGCTTTGAACAGGTCTCTGTGAAGATGTAGCCAGAAGAATTGTTTTTTGTGCAGTAACAAAAAACAGACAGCAAAACTTCTCTTGACCTCAATTTCTCTGTAGTTACTGCTTCATTTCTTTGTTTCCCTTTGCAGGAAAATTTCTCAATTGAATTTGTCTCAAACATACCATTTCCTCTCCTCTTACTCTTTCTTAAATCCATTCTGGAAGAGGTTTTTGCCCCCATCAGTCCACCAAAATTGCTCTTGTCAAGATCACCAATGATCTTTGTGTTGCTAAACTCACTAGCCACTTTGCAGTCCTCATTTTACTTGATCTCTTAGTAGCATTTGATTCAATGATCAATGTCTCCTTCCAAATGCCTTTCTTCACTTGCTGCTAGGATGCCACACTTTGTTTTTTTTTCTACCTCAGTAGCTGCTCATTCCCATTCTTTCCTCATTTACCTTCTCTTCTTCAACTTTTAAGGTAGAGCTCAGTTCTTTTCTCCTTTTTATCTTCACTCAGTTCCTTGGTGCTCTAGGGGCTTTAAATACTGTCTCTGTATCCGTGACTCCCAATTCATATTTGCAGTCAAGACTTTCTCATGAACTCCAATGTCTACACTCATTGCCCACTAGACTTCTTCACCTGATTGTCTAAAAGTATGACATAAAGACAACATGTCCAATACAAAACTCCCCATCCTCCTCACCCTATGCCACCAATCTGCATTATCCACAGACTTTCCCATGTCAGTTGCTGAGGACTCCATCCTCCTAGTTGCTGAGGCCAAAACCTGGGAGTCTCTCATATCCTATACCCAATCCTTTAGGAAACCCTATTCACTCTACCTTCAATATGTATTCAGAATCGTCACTTCTCAAAGAGTACAATGAGAATTTAGAAAATTAAATGAACCACTTTAAGGGTGGTAACAATCTCCAAAAAACCTATGCCACAAAATAGTTTATATTTTAGATAATATAAATAAATACCAAATAAATATCATTTTTAATGGCCATACATCACCTGCACGTCCCCTCCCAACTATGATCCTTAAGAAGAGTTGATGAAGCCAAAAAGCATCCCTGAAACTATAGGTGGGGATAGAAGACTGGTGGGGGGTTAGGGAATGAATGAGGTCAAGAGAAGAGAAGCAGAAATTAGGGTCTTCCTCACATAGCTTCGAAGGAAACCAGTCAGTCAGGAAAGCCAGAAATTGAGATGCTCTCTGGAGAGAAAAGGAGCTCAACTTTCAGTAGTGGTTTAAGAAGCTAATAGTCTTAGGACCAGACTGAAATAATATCTGATTCTTCGTACAGCAAGGAATTGATACCACTGGACATTTTTAATTGGTACTTTGTGAGAAGACAAACGTTCAGTATCCATCACTTAGCCGACTTCTACGTTTAAAACTGTATCCTTAGGACTCATTCCAACCTCCCAAATTTGCAAAATCTGAAGGTCCCATCTCATTCACATACTTGTCACCTAGTCCTTAATGCTAGTGTTGACATCTAAAGAGCTTTTTTTTTTTTTAAGATTTTATTTATTTATTTGACAGAGAGAGACACAGCGAGAGAGGGAACACAAGCAGGGGGAGCAGGAGAGGGATAAGCAGGCTTCCCGCCGAGCAGGGAGCCCAATGCAGGGCTCGATCCCAGGACCCTGGGATCATGACCTGAGCCAAAGGCAGACGCTTAACGACTGAGCCACCCAGGCGCCCTGAGCTTTTTTTTTTTTTTAACAGTTTTTTATGGGTATACTCTGGTAAGTGGTTAATATCTAAGCATATTCAATGTCTCTGGAGATAACATGTACGGGTTGGGTTATCTGAGAGCCTCAATCTGCACTCCAGCCATTGTGAGCTAAGGTAGCCAGCAGGGGAAGCAGAGTGATACGGAGCGTAGTGCAACAGTTTACAAACTTTTCGTAAACCACAATGCACCCTAAAAATATTTATATATTTTATATCCCAACCCATATCTGCTTTGCAAACAAAAACATTTGTTGCAATTTGGAAAAAAAAAGTTTTGCTACAGCATGCATTTCTTGCTAAGGAACTGATATATTCCATTTTCTATTCTGTTTTGGTTTTGTTTGGTTGGGTTTTGAGGGGTTTTGTTTTGTTTTATTTTTTGTTTTTCATTTTTTTAAGACCCTTAAAAATTCATATTGCTGATATCGTCATTAGAGGTTGGCTTTCAGCAATGACTTTGACACAAAGGGTGGGGGAGAGGGGCTTTAACTTTATCCCCACTATCTCCACCAGCCTGCCCCTTCAAGCCATCCTGAAGAAGCATACAATCTGTGTTAGTTTTTTATTGCTGCCTACCAAATTTCGTGGCTTCACATAGCAAGCACGTATTATCTCATACTTTCTGAAGGCCAGGAATTTGGGGGCAGCTTAATTGGGTGATTCTGGCTGAGGATCTGTGATGAGGTTTCTATCAACCTGTTCGTTGGGGCTGCAGGGATTGGAAGGCTTGCTGAGGACTGGAGAGTTTCTTCTAAGTTCACTCACATAAGTGCTGCCAGCGGCCTCCATTCCTTGCCACGAGGGCCTCTCCATATGGCTGTTCGTGACATGGCAGCCGGCTGCCCCCACTGAGTTAGATGAGGGCGTGGGGAGGGCGGCAGTGCCTTTTGTAATCTAGCCTCCGAAGGGATATAGCATCACTCGTGCCATATTCTGTTGGTCACAGAGACCATCTCTGATACAATATGGAAGGAAACTATTCGAAGGCATGATTACCAGGACATAGGGATCATTGGGTGCCATCTTACTTACACAGTCTAAGAAAGTACAGCTTCAAGACAAATTCCATTTATCACCCCCTGCTTCTAGCTGGGTTGTCACACCTAAGCCTTCTATATAGAAATAGAGCACCACTGGCCTTTAGAATCCCAAAGGTAGGGCACCTGGGTGTCTTAGATGGTTAAGTGTCTGCCTTCAGCTCAGGTCATGATCTCAGGGTCCTGGGATTGAGTCCCGCCTCAGGCTCCCTGCTCAGTGGGGAGCCTGCCTCTCCCTCTGTCTGCTGCTCCCCCTGCTTGTGCTCTCGCTCTTTCTGACAAATAAATAAATAAAATCTTAAAAAAAAAAAAAAGAATCCCAGGGGCGCCTGGGTGGCTTAGTCGGTTAAGCGTCTGCCTTCAGCTCAGGTCATGATCCCAGGGTCCTGGGATCGAGCCCCACATCAAGCTCCCTGCTCAGTGGGGAGTCTGCTTCTTCCTCTCCCACTCCCCCTGCTTGTGTTCCTGCTCTCGTTATCTCTGTCTCTGTCAAATTAAATAAATAAATAAATAAATAAATATAAATAAACAAAATCTTAAAAAAAAAATCCCGAAGGTATATACATATATATACATATATATATATATATATATATATATATATTTCAAAAGATTTTATTTATTTATTTATTTATTTATTTATTTATTTGGGAGAGAGAGAGAGATTGAGTGAGCGGGGAGAGGGGCAGAGAGAGAGAGAGGGAGAGACTCTCAAGCAGACTCCATGCTGAACATGGAGCCTGGCATGGGTCTCGATCTCATGACCCCAAGATCATGACCTGAGCCAAAATCAAGAGTCAGATGCTTAACCAACTGAGCCACCCAGGCACCTCCAAAGGTATATATTAAAATCCTTCTATAATTTACTAGCTGGATAGCGATGGTAACATTACTTCCTTATTCTCTTTCCTCATTTAAAAAAGTCGAGATAAAATCAACTTCACAGAGTCACTGTGAAGATAAAGTAGGATAATATTTGTGAAATGTCTGACACATAACAGGTATTCAGTCAATAAAGTTATTATAATTATCAAAGTAGGAAAGAATGGAAAACACATTACTAATTTGATGAGAAATACTAGATATGAATTGTGCTTTAGAGAGCTATATGTCTCAGCTGCTACAGGGTAAAGTGTTATTATTAAATGGTGTTTGGATAGTTCAGTGTCCTTCATTTTGTTATGACTTCTGACATAAAAGTACTGTAATAAACTATTTCTACTGGGTAACATTCATTTGAAAACAGGCTTGTGAATTTCATTTAGAACCCTCCCACAGCCCCCCAACAAAAAAGCAAAATAGTTAGCTTAGATGTAAGATCAGGCCACTAAGTCTGCTTGGCTGCAAACTCACTGTCCCCCAAGTTGATCCATTCCACTTTGGGACAGTTCTAATCACAAAAAAAAAAAAAAAATTAGCAATGTATGAAGCCCAAATATGTTTTACTTATTATCCTTGTTCTTCCTTTTAGAGTTGTAGAAATAAGTCCTTTATAAGATGGTCCTTCAAATGTTTAAGGACAACTATGATGTGTGGCTCCCTGCCTTCCATCCTACCTATTATCTGTACTTCTGCAAGTTAAATATATTCAGTTCCTTTTATATGTCCTCATGTAATGTGGTTTTGAGTCCTTTTACAGCATCAGTTTCTCTCTTCTGAACACCATAGCCAGTTTTCATAATCCCTGTGCAAAGTTTCGCACCTTGAACAAAGTACAATACCCCAGGCATTGCCTGTTTTCACCAGTGAAAAGTAGAATAGGGTTATTATTCACCATACATATTCTCATTACTAAGTTTTTCTTATTATAGCCCCAAATCTCATTACTACCCTTTTTTTTTTTAATGAATGGACTTCATTTTTAGAGCAGTTTTAGGTTTACAGAACACCTGAGCAGAAAGTAAGGAGAATTCCTTCTACCCCCAAACAGCTTTTTCCCTAATATTAACATCTTGCATTAGTGTGGTACCTTTGTTACAATTGATGAAAAAGTATTGCTACATTATTATTAACTAAAGTCCATTATATTAGAGTTCACTCTCTGTGTTGGATGATTTTCTGGGTTTTGACAAATGCACAATGTCATGTGTCCTCAATGACAGTCTCATACAGAATAATTTCAGTGCCCTGAAAATCCCCCGTGCTCCACCTGCTCATTCCTCCCTCCTTCCTCCAAACCGCAGGCAGTCACTGATGTTTTTACTATCCCCACAGTTTTGGCTTTTCCAAAATGTCATGTAGTTGGAATTGTATAATATGTACCCTTACAGATGGGCTCCTTTGCTTAACATAGGCATTATAGGGGCGCCTGGGTGGCTCAGTCATTAAGCGTCTGCCTTCGGCTCAGGTCATGATCCCAGGGTCCTGGGATCGAGCCCCACGTCAGGCTCCCTGCACGGTTGGAAGCCTGCTTCTCCCTCTCCCACTCCCCCTGCTTGTGTCCGCTCTCTTGCTGTGTCTCTCTCTGTCAAATAAATAAATAAAATCTTAAAAAAAAAAAAAAAACATAGGCATTATATTTCCTGCATGTCTTTGGTAGCTTGATAGCTCATTTCTTTTATCTCTGAATAATATTTTATGGAGGCATCCTGTCCATTATTTATCCATTCACTTATTGAAGGACATCTTGGTTGCTTCCAAGTTTTGGTAATTATGAATAAAGCTATATTGCTGCTATAAACACTCGTGCAAGTTTTGTGTGGACATAAATGTTCAACTCATTTAGGTAAATACCACAAAGCACAAATGCTGAATCATATGGTAAGAGTATGCTTAGTTTTGTAAGAAGCTACCAGACTGTCTTCCAAAGTGGCCGTACCATGTTGCATTCCCACCAGCAAATGAATGAGAGTTCCCGTTGCTCCATGTTCTTCCCAGCGTTTGGTGACCTTTTTTTTTTTCCCTTCTTAAATACAGCTACATCACTGTTGATTTATACAGAGTTTATCATCAGTCAAAATCCCTTAGATATTTTTATATGACTTAGCTGCTAAGCCACATTATCCTTCTCCCAAACTTGTGCAGTTACTCTTTGGACCTCCCTTAGTGCTTTTCCTTTCCTTTGGTGCTTCTCCAGATGTCCTGGAGTCTCTTTTACTTATCAGGTTCACTCATAATCCAGCTGCTATGTGTATTGCTGTGAAGGACTCACACTTTTACAACCTTCTCCAGAGGGATTGCCTTCGGGAGACTAAAGGTCTGGAGGCTGGAGTTTCCTGGGAGTTTACATTCTTCACCCAACTAGGATCACCCATAGACAAATAACGGACTGGTATGGAGGTACAAAAACCCAGCTCCCTGTTTCAAGTTTGGGATAATACTATGATGAATTTATATACTCCAAAGTCCTTGCAAGATCAGGCAGAAACCAGGTTTTACTTAAACCACATTCTCTGTCTTTATTTCTCATTTCCTACACGTTTTTCCTGAGGCTACAACTTTAATAATTCAGTTGCACATGAATCCTCATCTCAGGCTCTGCTTCTAGGGAATCAGAGCTAATTTTATTACTCTTTTTGGTTATAGCACCTAATTGTTTTTAATGTTTTTGACTATTATAACTATTCCTTTAAAAAATCATATTGTATTTCTTTTTTTAAAAGATTTATTTATTTTGAGAGAGAGAGAGGAGAGAGTGCGCTCAGGGGGAGGGACAGAGGGAAAGAATCTCAAGAAGACTCCTTGCTGAGCCCCGAGCCTGACGCGGGGCTTGATCTCACCACCCTGAGATCATGACCTAAGCTGAAATCAAGAGTCAGACGCTCAACCAACTGAGCCAACCAGGTGCCCCAATATTGTATTTACTTCTAACAGTTCATTTTTAGTTGCTTATGCATTATTGTGTGTATTTATTGAATCTTTAAGAGCCAGTTTTTTTTTTGAAAAAAATTACCTCTCCAATATTATAATGAATGTCAATGGGAAAATCAGATTAATTGTATAAACCTTCACTGCAAAGTAAACTTTATTCCATTAGGTGAGGATTAGCTCCGTTGCATTCATTCACATCTTTCATTGAGCTGCCTGACAGTGGTACTATTTTAGGTAGACATACTATATTTCAGACTCTCATTAGTTTCAGGATTTCTTTTTATGCCAAAGATTTTGTCTGAATACCTACCTTTTGCTTTTTATTTTTTAGTGGTGGACGCCTCCTTGGCCCAAGAGCCTGTCTTCAGTGAAAGACCCATCTCTGTGTTTCCATATTACATGACTTCGGCATTGCCTTGTATGGAAAGGAGAAGCCTCTGAGAAAGTTGCCAGCACCATTTCTGGTGGCTCTGGATCCTCTCATATGGAAGATCTTGCAGAAGAAGCATCACCTGATTGAAATGATAAATTATAAAAGGGGAATATGTCACTGTGAGGTAACATGGCCCCGAGTCAGCTGTAAGGGGCTAGAGGTAACATTCAAATCCATGGCCACTGAACTCAAGGAAGAACAAAGATCAATGTCATCAAAACCTGGAATGAGGACATTTCTAAAAACTTCTGCCTATCATTTCTAAATATCAAGTCACCAAATTGAATGTGAAGCCAACGGCATGGGAAGACATAAAAAACAGCATAAAGGATGATAAGATTTTGATTGAGTCTGATATATTCAAGAAGATAGTCATAATAACAGGTTGTTTGGAGGATGTGAATAGAACTTACTACAATTAAAGACACCTACCATAACATTGAAAAGGAAAAAAAAATTTACAGAGAATGTGGCTGGTTCTTCTAGATTTTCTATTCTTCACATCAATGCTTTGAAAAAGTCTATACCCCAAGGAATTCTCAGGGTTGGAGGCCATTAATAATGCTTGCACCAAACATACCAGAGTACATGCAGGAGAGTATAAAGAATGAAATTCCTGAGCAAGGGAAAAGGACTGTTCAAGAAGCCCACTCCCAGTCCTTCTGGAGTTTTCTATTTGTTATAGGAAGTAGAGTGTGGAAAATTCTCTAACATTGTTTTAAGAAAGAAAATTCATAACCTTTTTGAGTTAGATCAGGCATGAAAAATACCTTTCATTTCATGGGTTACTTCTTTTTTGGGGGGGAGGGGCAGAGGGAGAAGGAGAGAGAGAATCTCATGGGTTACTTACCAAGCAATTGCCTGCAGCTTTGTGTTGAGCAAGTTTCTGAAACTCTATCTGGATTGATTGAAAAAGAGTGTTGGTACCAATTAATGTCTGTCACAGGTGTGGATGACGAGATATATAGGGATGGGGAGGTGATGTGCGCCATGTTATTACCATTGGTAAGTGTGAGAATACAGTCAGGTAGATCAACACCTCTTCCTAGATTCTGTGAAGATCAGATTCACAGATTGTGCCTTCATCAGCTAATATTTTGACTTTGAGTGAGTGGTTTCATCTCTTTGTACAGTTTTTTCGTTTTTTTTTTTTTTCCAGGAGAATGAAGTTTCCGTACTAGATGATCTCTAATGACCCTTTAAATTCTAAAATTCTTTGGCTGAGTAATAGTCAAACTACAAATGCATTATCATGCATTTGACAGGATTCAAGTGCCAATGATTTAAATAGGGAAGTAAAAGGTACTGATAGGGTGTGTGATCAAATCCGTTACCGCTTAATCCCACTAAGGAAACTCCAGAGTGAGTACTACCTGGGAGGCAAGGTTGCTGGGGAGCTTTACACGAACTCCTGTCAATCATTGGATGAGGGCTTGAGGGGGGTGGGAGGGCTGCTTAATTTACCTGCAATTCCTCTCTGCTACACCTGAAGGGAAGCAGGCTTTGGCACTACAGAAAGTCCTGGGACAAGAAATACAGTGGGAGGGTCGCCTGGGTGGCTCAGTTGGTTGAGCATCAGACTCTTGATTTCAGCTCAGGTCATGATCTCAGGGTCCTGGGATTGAGACCCAGGTAGGGCTCAGTGTAAGTGTGGAGCCTGCTTAAGATTCTCTCTCTCCTTCTCCCTCTGCCCCTCCCCCCAAAAAAAGAAAAGAAAAGAAAAGAAATACAGCTGGAAATATGACCAGAATGCCCTTACGTAGTAAGAGCCAGAGGGTATGAACAGGGTCTGCTAAGCTACAATTCTTGGGGGAATAAGTAAAAGAGCTCACTGGCATTTGGAGTTAAATATAGCTGATGCTCAAAAATCGTGATAGTAAATTATTTGTTTTTGAGTCTTAGGGTTGGATTATGAGTTGAGTTAGAGAGGTGTGGAATCTAAGGTTATTTCTCAGAGTTATATGAGAAAAATCTCCAGATAGCATTGGGTCATTATTTTTACTGTTTTCTCCACAGTCAACAGACCAAGTCAGCTGGAAAAATTATCTTTCCAACAGTAATGTGATAGCCTCAACCCAAACCAGAGAAGGTCTAAACCTCGTGTTGATAAGTGGAGATGTTATCTATTTCCAAGTAAGTGGTGCTATTTAGTAAATCCGATAAGAAACAATGGGGCCTAATTCACCAGTTCTGTAATTTAAGGTCAAAGGTTAAGATCTTATAAATTTGAGGAGTTAAACCCACCTGAAGTTTAAGCACGGCTATACTTAACCATCCCCTGTATTCCACATGTTCTCATGTGAAGAGATCCAGGTTGACCACAAACACCGGTGTGCACATCTACCTCTTTTATTTCTCTATAACTTATCTTGACCTACTTTCAACCCAGTTCTATTCCAATCATCATTTATGGGGAGGAGATATACACATCATTTTATAATATCACCCTTCACAAAAGTACCCTGTCACTTCTGTCTGAGCACTTTCTGAGACAAAGGCAGAATGGGAAAGGAGAAAGATTACCAAGGCAGGTACTAAAATCTCAGCTTGGCTTTTACTTGCCTCTTCTCCTATTGCTTTGCCCCCTTGGAATCACTAGTTAGCAGGAGATGCAAGCCCTATATTCTATCTATAGTTGACATTCACGATACTCAATCCTGGCTGCATGTCAGAACCATCTGGGAAACTTTCAAAAATAGAGCTGCCCAGACCCCACCCCTAGAAATTCTGATTTTAATTGGTCAGGTATGTGGTCGGGGGGGGGGGGGGGTCAGTAGTTTTTTTTTAAGAATTCCAGGTGATTCTAATATGCTGCTAAGGCTGAGAATTACTGATTCGGATTCTTCTTCAGAATTCTGTAGTTTCCACCATTTTGACACTTGCTATTTACCTTCAGAGGGCATACACTCAAGATTAATGGAAAGAGAATTCTTCTGAGAAATTTGGAGACTCATGGCTTATGAGCCACTGGAAATATTCTTTGCTTTTGTGCAGCTAATGAGATGGCAGCAGCCACTTTCCTCATGTTCTCTAGAGTAGCTAGAGTCCTTAAACTCCTTTGTCACATGGTTTCAGGACCTTGTTCTCAGATCTTCAGGTTGAAAAGGTGAATCTTATAATTTTACCCAGACTTAAACTGGCACTAATCAAACTCAAAAGACTTATTTGTAAAACTAGAATTGTAATTATTTAATTGCAATGAGGAAGCTAATTGCCATGGCTACTGGTAAAAAAAAAAGCTCTGTAGCTGCCTATTATGAGATTGCTTGGTGGGCATTCTCAGATCAGAAAAGAACTAGGTAACATAGAAGTACAGTAAGTTTCTTTGTCAGTCTAGGAATAGACATAGTGTAGTGGTTATGCAGACCAATGACAAAGCTAGTTTTGGCAGGGTTCAAATCCCACTCTACCACTGGCCAGCCATTGATCTTAGTCAACAACTCCCTTGGACTCAGTGTCCTTAGCTATAATTATGGATGATGACAATATTAGTGTTGTGAGGTTTAAATAAAATAATCCACATAAAGCATTTAGCACTTCCCTGGCACATAGCAAAAACTCAGAAAATGATAGCTACCGTTGTTAGCCACTTACAACAGACTACTCTACGTTTTACCTGACCCAATTAGTGCTGCAATCTAGTTGAGATAGATATTCTGTACCTTCATCTTATAGACAAGGAAACAGGTCTTTTCACCACATAGTCTCTTAAGTTGATTATTAAACTCTTGACAACTCAGTCAGGATACCTATTCTCACCATTGGATGATGCTGTTTAAACTTTGGAGTCCTCTAACTCTTTCTTCTCTGAGTTCCTTTCCTTATCCCACCTAGTTTCCCAGCCTCCTTGCACACTCTCTCTTGTATATGCCCTTTCCTTTTCATTCCCACAGTCAACTCGTCCTTCAGCACCCCCAGTCACCTCTCTCACCCTCCAGTCTGTTCTCTCCATAGCTGTTTGATGCATGTTCATCAGAAGCTCCCTGCTGCCTGTAGCAGAAAGTCCAAAAAAGTATGAGCTTTCAGAGTCTTCCATCGTCTGGCCCCAAATCTCTTTCCAGCCCTGTCTCTCACCGTTAGCACTCTCCATTAGCTAAATTGGACTACTTTCTGACCTTTCTCAATTCTTTGTGTTTTCTTAAATATCCACCCACCCAGAATGCTTACTGCCTTCTTTCTTCCTGTCCCAGCTTCATCCCTTATCCTTTTTGCATAGACTTTACTAACCAGTCCAGTTTAAAGGATTCCTGCCTTTTTTGAATTTCTATAGCAATTACTAATTGTATTTTTAACACAGTTTCTTTTGATTATCTTCAACTGATTTAAACATTAAGAATATTTTACTGTTTTACATGTTAATATATTACTTCCCCAAACTGTGTAGGAATCAGTAAGCAGGGAGTGTGGTGACGGTGGGCTGGATCTTGGTTTTTTGGCAAGCTCACTGACTTTTGTCCCTGTGGGGAGCTTCTCAGGTCCTGAGATTAGTTTATGTTAACTAACCTCATATAAGATTGAGGAGGACCCATGGAAACCAATGAGAACAAAAACACATCAGTCCAAAACCTATGGGATACTGCAAAGGTGGTCCTAAGGGGGAAATACATAGCCATCCAAGCTTCACTCAAAAAAACAGAAAAATCCCAAATTCACCAACTAACTTTACACCTTAAAGAACTAGAGAAAAAGCAACAAACGATGCCTAAGCCACACATTAGAAGAGAAATAATTAAGATTAGAGCAGAGATCAATGAATTAGAAACCAGAAACACAGTAGATCAGATCAACGAAACTAGAAGCTGGTTCTTTGAAAGAATTAATAAGACCGATAAACCACTGGCCAGACTTATCCAAAAGAAAAGAGAAAGGACCCAAATTAATAAAATTATGAATGAAAGGGGAGCGATCACGACTAACACCATGGAAATAGGAACAATTATTAGAAATTATTATCAACAACTATATGCCAATAAATTGAGCAACCTGGAAGAAATGGATGCCTTCCTGGAAGCCTATAAACTCCTAAGACTGAAACAGGAAGAAACTGACAACCTGAATAGACCAATAACCAGTAATGAGATTGAAGCAGTGATCAAAACCTCCCAAAAAACAAGAGTCCAGGGCCTGATGGATTCCCTGGGGAATTCTACCAAACATTCAAAGAAATAATACCTATCCTCCTGAAGCTGTTTCAAAAAACAGAAACAGAAGGAAAGCTTCCAGACTCATTCTATGAGACCAGCATTACCTTAATTCCCAAACCAGGCAAAGACCCCATCAAAAATGAGAATTTCAGACCGATATCCCTGATGAATATGGATTCCAAAATTCTCGACAAAATCCTAGCTAATAGGATCCAACAATACATTAAAAGGATCCAACGATACATCCACCAAGACCAAATGGGATTTATCCCAGGGATGCAAGGGTGGTTCAACATTCGCTAATCAATCAATGTGATAGAACACATTAATCAGAGGAGAGAGAAGAACCATATGGTTCTCTCAATTGATGCAGAAAAAGCATTTGACAAAATACAGCATCCTTTCCTGATTAAAACTCTTCAGAGCATAGGGATAGAGGGAACATTTCTTAAGTTCATATAATCCATCTAGGAAAAACCCACAGCGAATATCATCCTCAATGGGGAAAAGCTGAGAGTGTTTCCCTTAAGATCAGGAACATGACCAGGATACCCACTCTTACCACTGTTGTTCAACATAGTACTAGAAGTCCTAGCAACAGCAATCAGACAACAAAAAGAAATAAAAAGTATTCAGATTGGCAAAGAAGAAGTCAAACCCTCTCTCTTCGCAGATGACATGATACTTTATGTGGAAAATCCAAAAGACTTCACCCCCAAATTACTAGAACTCATACAGCGATTCAGTAATGTGGCAGGATACAAAATCAATGCACAGAAATCAGTTGCTTTCTTATACACTAACAATGCAACTGTAGAAAGAGAAATGATTCCATTTACAATAGCACCAAAAACCATAAGATATCTTGGAATAAACCTAACCAAAGAGGTAAAGATCTATACTCTAGGAACTACAGAACTCATGAAAGAAATTGAAGGAGACATTGGGGCGCCTGGGTGGCTCAGTCATTAAGCATGCCTTTGGCTCAGGTCATGATCTCAGGGTCCTGGGATCAAGCCCTGCATCGGGCTCCCTGCTCTGCGGGAAGCCTGCTTCTCCCTCTCCCACTCCCCCTGCTGTGTTCACTCTCTAGCTGTGTCTCTCTCTGTCAAATAAATAAATAAAATCTTTAAAAAAAAAAAAGAAATTGAAGAAGACACAAAAAGATGGAAAAACATTCCATGCTCATGGAACAGAAGACTAAACATTGTTAAAATGTCTGTGCTACCCAGAGCAATCTATACTTTCAATGCCATCCCCATCAAAATTCCAATGACATTTTTTGAAATGCTGGAACAGACCATCCTAAAATTTGTATGGAATCGGAAAAGACCCTGAATCGCCAAGGAAATGTTGAAAAAGAAAAACAAAGCTGGGGGCATCACGTTGCCTGATTTCAAGCTATATTACAAAGCTGTGATCACCGAGACAGCATGGTACTGGCACAAAAACAGACATATAGACCAATGGAACAGAACAGAGAGCCCAGATATGGACCCTCAACTCTATGGTCAAATAATCTTTGACAAAGCAGGAAAAAACATGCAATGGAAAAAAGACAGTCTCCTCAATAAATGGTGCTGGGAAAATTCGACAGCTATATACAGAAGAATGAAACTTGACCATTCTCTAACATCATGCACAAAGATAAACTCAAAATGGATGAAAGACCTCAATGTGAGACAGGAATCCATCAAAATCCTAGAGGAGAACATAGGCAGTAACCTCTTTGACATCGGCCACAGCAACTCCTTTCAAGATACATCTCCAAAGGCTAGTGAAACAAAAGCAAAAATTGAACTTTTGGGACTTCATCAAGATAAAAAGCTTCTGCACAGCAAAGGAAATAGTCAACAAAACAAAGAGGCAACCCACAGAATGGGAGAAGATTTTTGCAAATGACACTGCAGATAAGGGGCTGGTATCCAAGATCTATAAAGAACTTCTCAAACTCAACACCCAAAAAACAAATAATCAAGTCAAAAAATGGGCAGAAGACATGAACAGACACTTCTCCAAAGAAGACATACAAATGGTTAACAGACACATGAAAAAATGTTCATCATCATTAGCCATCAGGGAAATTCAAATCAAAACCACATTGAGATACCACCTTACACCAGTTAGAATGGCAAAAATTGACAAGGCAAGAAACAACAAATGTTGGAGAGGTTGTGGAGAAAGGGGAACCCTCTTACACTGTTGGTGGGAATGCAAGTTGGTACAGCCACTTTGGAAAACAGTGTGGAGGTGCCTCAGAAAATTAAAAATAGAGTTACCCTATGACCCAGCAATTGCACTCCTGCGTATTTACCCCAAAGACACAGATGTAGTGAAAAGAAGAACCATATGCACCCCAATGTTCATAGCAGAAATGTCCGCAATAGCCAAACTGTGGGAAGAGCACAGATGCCCTTCAACAGATGAATGGATAAAGAAGATGTGGTCCATATATACAATGGAATATTACTCAGCCATCATAAAGGATGAATACCCAACTTCTACATCAACATGGATGGGACTGGAGGAGATTATGCTAAGTGAAATAAGTCAAGCAGAGAAAGTCAATTATCATATAGTTTCAGTTATTTGTGGAACATAAGGAATAGCATGGAGGACATTAGGAGAAGGAAGGGAAAAGTGAAGGGGGGGAAATCGGAGGGAAAGATGAACCATGAGAGACTATGGACTCTGAGAAACAAACTGAGGGTTTTAGAGGGGAGGGGGTGGGGGATGGGTTAGCCCGGTGATGGGTATTAAGGAGGGCACGTACAGCATGGAGCACTGGGTGTTATACGAAAACAATGAATCGTGGATCACTACATCAAAAACTAATGATGTATTGTATGGTGACTAACAAAACATAATTAAATTTAATTAAATTAAATTAAAAAAAAGATTGAGGTGAGAAATGAAACTGTTATATGGCCCAAAGCCATAGGCACCTTTTAACTTATGATGAGGAAGTGCTCCCCAAAGAACCAGAATACTCAAAATCCACATGATCAAAGCATTCTCCCCTCCAAATTTGAATATGAAATCAGAATAAATGGAATTGGATGAATTGAATATTTAATATCTAGTGGCATCAGGTCATGACCCCATCTCACCAAAGGGATGGCCTCAGCAGGCATTGGAGAATTCTTGATACCCCTGGACAGGCTTGAGTGGACACTGCTTACCTTCACCTCAATGACCTTCCTTTGTCTAGGTCTTCAGGACTGACCAGACCCCACCCCCTTCAGACAGACCCATTCTTTCTTTAGGTATGTTAATAAAGTCAGAACAATTACTCTCAGTCCCTGCCAGCCTAAAAGCAACTCTTTCTCTTTTCAGAGGTCTCTCTCAAAGGTCTGTGTTTTTGTCTCTATCTGTCTCACTATTTTTCTCTTTCTGCTTCTGCCTTTCATTCTGACTCTTCTTTGTCTGTGGTCTCTGGTTTGCTCATTTTCATAGCCCTATCCTGACTTATCACATGTTGACTTGACAGTAATGGGTGATGTATTTCCTTAATTTCTAAGTTTTAGAGCTCAACTCATTATAGTATCTAAGTACTAAGAACAGATTGTAAACCCCTTGAGGGTAGGGCTGACAGGTCAGTATGATAGACAAAACATATCTTATGCATTACCCCACAATACTTGGCAAGTCATAGGTGCTTAGTAATTATTAATTGATTCAATCTCTAACAAAATGTTGCTGTTTTCCTGAAGGCCGATGTAATTGTCAACACCGTTCCCATGAATCTTCAACTTGGAGGAGGAACACTATCTCAGGCTCTTTTGCAGAAAGCTGGTCCAAAGCTCCAGGAAGAGTTATATGCCACCAGGCAGGGAACAGAAGAGGAAGTAGGTAGCATATTCATGACAAGTGGCTGCAATCTGAGCTGCCAAGCTGTCCTCCATGTGGTGGCACCAGAATGGGATAATGGAGCAGGGTCTTCTCAGCAGGTAGGGAAAATCCTTAGTTCTCTACTTCATTGGTAGCTTTGGTAATCTTCTGGCATGGTAGAGATCTGTGGTTCCCAAGCAAAGTGAATTTATTCCCCAGGGGAAATTTGGCTTGTTACAACAGTTACTGATAACTAGGAAGTGGAGGCCAGGGATGCTGCTAAGCATCCTACAAAGCATACATCAGCCCCTGCAACACAAACTTTTCTGGCCGAGGCTGAGAAACCTTAGTATTGATTGAACTTTGTCTATTTGTTGAATTCTTTATTACATTCCATGAACAGTCCATCAAAGCTACCAGTTATTTCAGAATAATTGATCCTCAAAAGTAGTAACAATTCTTGGGGTTCTCCAGGAATGGTATCTGAAAATTAGTGTAATGATCCTTCAGTATAACAAAGAGATGCAGCCAGAGCTGTGGTGAAGAATGAAGGGTCATTGCTCTTCTTTTGATGACTTCTCACCTCTTCTCCCAACTTTCTTTTTTTCAGAATATGAAAGTAACATATGTATATTAAAGAAAATGCAGGAAGTAGAAACACTAAAATAAAAATTATAATCCAGCCACCTGGAGATAAATTTGGTTAACATTTTATTGATTCCCTTCAAGTCAATTTTATACATACTTATTTCTTAGTTAAGATTCCCTTTCAATCATGTTTTAATCCTGCTTTTTTTAAAATTGACATAAACATTTACCCAATGTCCATAAACATTGCTTTTGATTGCAATAAGACACCACTGTTTATGTAGCCATTCCCATACTATTGGAGCCTCCTTCCTGCATGAGTTGGAATCTCTCTGGAACGTCCTCTCCCCCCTTGTTTTCCCTTTCTGACTCCCTGGACCCAGACAAAGCCAAGAATAGCCAAGGAGACCTAGTCACAGTTGCTGGAGCCATAGCTCTTTCTGTTTCCCACCAGCTTAAGCCCTAACTTATATAAATGTATTTTGTACATTTCAGATCATGGCGAATATAATCAAGAAATGTTTGACAGCTGTAGAAGAGTTATCTTTTTCATCAATCACATTTCCCATGATCGGAACAGGAAATTTGAGGTTTCCCAAAGCTATTTTTGCTGAACTAATCCTTTCAGAAGTGTTCAACTTCAGTAGCAGTGCCTGGCAGAAAACCTTACAAAAAGTTCACTTTCTGGCATATCCAGGTGATGATGAAATCCAGCAGGTATGGTTACATATCTCTTCTAATCATTCTGACAAGTGAACCTAAGTGCAACCAGATGTCTTTATGGATCTGTAAATAATAATGTTTTCACTTCCCTGTCCATAAGTGTTGGTTGCTGATAGGGGGTTGTCATGACTTTACGAGATAACACTGATAACTCATACAGTCCTTCCTAGACAGTTTAGCAAGAGACAAGAAAATTTGTACTTAATAAATTCTTAGGAAGAAGCAGAAAGTTATTGGCATTAAGAGTGGCCCAGATATTTTAACACTGACTGAATGAAAGCCAAGGCATGGCTCTGTGTATAGGAAAAAGACCAAATAAGAGAAACCTCAAGAATTTAGGGGGTTTTTTTGGATAGAAGACAGCCAGTCTACACAAGTTTATGAGAGTCTAAAGCTAGAAATAGCACTACAGCATTCAGTAGGAGAGAGGGCACTCAAAGCACATGTACTAAGAACTGAGCCAGCTACATCACCCTTGTAAAGTAGCATTCCTACAGATGCACTCCTTAGCTGGTTGGCCCAGTCTGGGTATCAAAATCTGGTTCTCATTCTTGAAAAAGTTATATTGATTTTATATAAATTGTGCACAGTTATAGCAAAAATGCAAACAACATAAAAGTACAAAGAAGAGGCGCCTGGGTGGCTGAGTTGGTTAAGCGACTTCCTTCGGCTCAGGTCATGATCCTGGAGTCCCGGGATCGAGTCCTGCATCGGGCTCCCTGCTCGGCGGGGAGTCTGCTTCTCCCTCTGACCCTCCCCACTCTCATGCTCTCTCTATCTCATTCTCTCTCTCAAATAAATAAATAAAATCTTTTAAAAAAAAAAAAGTACAAAGAAGAAAGGTACAGCTAGGTTTGAATTTTGATTTTGCCATTTAGGCGCTGAGGGAGGCCACCTCTGAACTTCAGTTTTATCATGTGTCAAGTGAATGTGGCAATAACACCTCTCGAAGTCGATGTGAGGATAAGAGAGGATGTATTTGAAGTGTTTCTCATGGTGTCTAGCACGTAGCACGCCTCAAACCTGGTTGCAGAAGTAGTTATTACTACCTTTTTGTGACCTGACTTTAAGGGCCATAGCAATAGCACAATTTGTAGCATAAATTACTAACGTTAGTGCTTTAAAAAGATATCAAATATAATGTTCTTTTCTAAGGTCTTGGTTACTCTCAGGCCTTTGGGATAGAATTGTGGTCTTTCCATGAAATAAAGTAAATCAGCACTGGTATTTACTGAGAAAATTCCTAAGTTGAACGGCAATCCTGTAATTAAAAAGTCTCTGGGTAAGAGGAAATCTAGGGAGGACTATTGTTCCTAGTTGATTTCTGGTGATCGATGCTCCAAAGAACTGGATTAATATGTTCACAGAACATTGTTGTAGTCAGTAACCGTATTTCTTTCTATTTCCAGGCATTTTTACATAAATTCACTGAATGGGTGAGTGGAAATCCCAACAAGGACAGGATTCTCATGGCTGGAGGTAGCCAAGGTCTGGCAAAATTGTTCTGCTGAGAAAATGCTTCCTTCTGCTTAGTGGCTCTTCAGTGATAGCTGATGTCCAGTAGGAGACAAAGCTAATTCACATGAGGCACAAATCAGTGATGAAGGAGGTGTTAGAGCACGTTCTATTGTCTGAGCACACAAAGAATAAATTATATGGAGGTTGTGCTGCCCCACCCCAGCAGACTCTAAGCCTAGGGTGGGTCATGGTACGGCGAGGCCAAAGAGAAGACCCAGAGACACCGATGGAGACATAGGTTTATTGGGGGAGCTTATGCACAGGGAGTCCAGAAGTGGCCAACTGGATACAGCCTCTGCTGCCAGGATCTACATGCAGCAAGTTTTTATATCATAGCAACTATCATTGGCCCCTCCCCTCCTTGCATGGCCAGCGTTTCCAAGGAGATCAAGGCCTGCCACTTGGACAGTCTTCATTATATGAGAGACGTATGGGGTTGGTCACCACCCCCCCAAACCCAGCCCCTGATCTTGAACACTGAACAGCATGTTCTTTGCACGTTCTGCTTGATGGGAATATAGAGGGAGGACAGAATCTCTAGATTTTTAAGACAGTGATTCACAGGGGCATTCAGGGTGTGCTTGCACAAACCAGCTATCCAACGTGTACCATACCAGATGTGAACCAAATCTGGTAACGAGGCCAGAGTTTCTGAGATATGATAATGAAAGATAACTGAGGATGGAGGAGCCAGGGGTGGGACGCACGACCGCCCTGCACCTTCCTTGATCATCCCCATGCACTGCTTCACCTGTGGCGATAAGCGGAAGGCCTACCTGCAGCTGCTGTGGGCTGAACCCATGGAGGGGGCCTCCCTGGACAGGCTGCATTGCCTCCACAGGCTGTTGGCTCACATGGATATGAGACCTGCTGGAGCCTGACCATGGGCAGTCAGTGTCTTGCCCAGAGTTCCTTCTACAGAGGTGTGGGTAGCTGAGAGCAGTACCCGCCCCCCCCAGCCTCCTGGATGTGTGTCCTCCCGTTCTGAAGGAACCATCCAGTAAAGAAGGAAACTCCCGCTCTTTGAAAAACCACATGCACACATACAGATAACTAAAATGTGGTTGGCACACTGAACTTCACTGATTGCTTTCATATATATATATGAATATGAATATGAATACGAAAAAAATATATATGTTATTTAATCTATACAGTGGCCTCCTGGGCAGGTGGTTCTGTTGCCACTGCATCATATGGGAAGAGAGAGCTAAAGAGTTTAAGGGATGAGTAGAAATGGCACAGCTAAGTTGTAAAGCTTCAGAGCGTAGGGTGGACAGTAACATTATGCCGACGCGATAAGGCTGATTTTCTCAGAGCAACCCTGGTACTGCTATCCCAGTGAGATGTGAAGCAACAGGAAAAGCTTATGTTTGGAGTTAGTGAGCTGTTATTTAACACTGGACAGGGGCGCCTGGGTGGCTCAGTGGGTTGAGCGTCTGACTCCTGATTTCGGCTCAGGTCATGATCTCAGGGTTGTGAGGTTGAGCCCTGCATTGGGCTCCATGCTCGGTGGGGAGTCTGCTTGAGATCCTCTCCCTCTGCCCCTCCCCCTGTTCCAATGCTCTCTCTCTCTCTCTCTCTAAAATAAATAAATAAAATAAATCTTCCAAAAAAATAATTGGACAAATGACCTAGACACTGAGACCATTTCCCTTTCTGTAAAATGGAAATAAAAGAATCACCTGGAGGTACAAACTTTCCATCATAAGATGAATAAATTCTGGAGACCGAATGTCCTGCATGGGGCTATAGTTAATAATAATGTTTCGTATTCTTTTTTTTTTTTTAAGATTTTATTTATTTCTTTGACAGAGAGACACAGCCAAAGAGGGAACACAAGCAGGGCCAGTGGGAGAGGGAGAAGCAGGCTTCCCGCAGAGCGGGGAGCCAGCCCGATGTGGGGCTCGATCCCAGGACCCTGGGATCATGACCTGAGCCAAAGGCAGACACTTAATGACTGAGCCACCCAGGTGCCCCAATGTTTCGTATTCTTGAAGCTTACTAAGAGAGTAGATCCCAAGTGTTCTCACCACTCCCACATGCACACACACACCCCCAAAATGGTAACTATGTGAGGTGATGGGTGTGCTATTAGCTCAACTGGATAATCATTTCACAGTGTATGTGAATGTCAAGACGTCACATCATAGACCTTAAATATTTACAATTTTTATTTGTCATACTTCAAAAAAGCTTGAAAAAAAGTCTCCCAGAGATGTCAGCACGACCTGAGGGAGCACTTTGCCTTCTGTCCTTCCTCACGCCTTTCTAATGACGCTACGGCAACTTTTGCAGATAAGCAGACGGTCCAGTCTGGTGTTTCTGCCTCATCTTATTTAACTGAGAAATTGATCCTCCTGCTGCCACAAGGCATTATTTTTTAATTTCCTTAAAAAGGAAAACCCAGCCACTTAACAGGCTGGGAGGCATGGTAATGTTTGCGTTTATGTGGGTGGAAAGAAAGAGGACTGGGAAGAGAACAGGACCCCATTCTTTTGGTTCATTCTCCAGCTACTCTTTCATTTGCTTCCTTTCTTTTCAGGTACCTTCAGGCCTGGCTCCAACCCTGGGTTCACAACATATGAAATGAAAATTGGTACAGTTACTTTCCAGATTGCTACCGGAGATATTACCAAAGAAAAGGCAGATGTGATTGTAAACTCAACAACAAGGACATTTAATCTGAAATCAGGTACTTTATTTAAGCAATGTACATGATCGTAACTACTAACATGACCCACGTGTGGGAGGGAAATTGTGGCTAATGTTGCCTGAGTAGATGGAGAGTGTTGCAGAACATATGTAGGCCCTGGGATCAGAAAGACCTGGGTTTGAATCCCAGCTATGTCACTTACCGTTGTGTGGCCTTGGAACAATCACTTATCCCCTCTGAGCCTCAGTTTCTCTGCCTGTCAAACGTGGATTTCCCAGAGGAGGATTAGACGGGGCGTAGCAATGTAAAGCTGAGGTGTAACCCATGCACTGGACTTAGTCTGTGTTAGCTCTCATCCCCTTTCTAGCTCTGAACTATCAAAATTCCACACTTACAATTTAATAAGTTTAAGTTTTATTTTAATTTTCCTTTTTATGTAACTCAGCTGGCACTCGTATCTCACTTCTTGTAACTCTTTCCTGTGTTACACTGACCCAGAAATGAAATTCAGCCCCTTTTTCTTCATTTTTCCTGGAATGTCTGAGCACATCCATTGATGGAGCTACTTTGAGCAAGCCCTCCCCACATGTCTTTTTGTGTATAACTTACATACATGTACTCTTATGTTAATATATATTTTTTTACAAAGCCTTAAATTTTAAATTAAAAGTGTAAGATAAAACATAAGTAGAAATGGAAGTTTAAATATTTTCCAAAACTGCAAAATATTATGGTACTTACTAGGTAGGAAGTGCATATGTAGAATATCCATCCAGTGTATCGGTCATTCAAAATGCAGACATAAAGAACATTCAATTAGGTAAAATGTGATAAATTGAACATAGGCATTTGTCCCTGCCTTCTTTTAAAATTCCATTAAAGCAACAGTAAAGGAAATAAAAGGGTGTAAACCCAGAAGGAAAAAGAGAGTTGGAGGGAAACCAATAATGAACAAGAGACAGCAGTGTATTTTTAGAATATGAGAAGCAGCTAGCCAGTGGTGAAAACTTAGTATATGCAGGAGAAAACGGTAGCCCCTAGAGACACAAGAATTGGAGGCAGCAGGTACCTGGAAAGGCAGGGGACAAGTAAAGAGATGAAAACAGAATTGGATGCAATTCTGTATGAGTAGCACTTACGCCCCTTTGTTCTATCCTCCATCCATCCAATGCACCAGTAACTTCCCTTGCTCTTCCCTGGCCAGAGATGGGAGGTTTATTTAGTCTGTAGAGAAACCAACCAGACAGATTCTAGACGTAGAGGAGCAGGCACGGGTGAGATGAGGATGGGAGCTGGACAGTGTTCAAGTGAAAGTTCCTGTGCTGAACAGTGAGTGCCAAGCCCCGTTCCTGTGCATCTCCCAGAACAGCAGATGGTTTATGCCCTCTGAGACAGGAGATGGGAGGGTCCTTCCAGAGAGAAACCAACTGCCCTCAAGTCTAGTATTTACTGCCTGCTTACCTTACACTAAAGCCTACTGGTCAGCAAGCCTCCTTTACATGGTGCTCCCAAACTCACTCTAAATATGAATGGACTGGTGAAGATCATCTGATAATTGAAGAAAACCTCCATTATTGCAGAGACCAAAACAAACACACAAAAAAAGGAATTTTTTTAAAAAGAGACAATTCACAATACACACATACATAATCAAGGAGACAGACAGATAGATAGATTGATTGATCTTTATAATGATAAAATAACTAATAATCATTCAGTGCTTTCTGTGGGCCAGGTTCTGCGCTAAGCATCTTTTATTCACTGTCTCTTTTAATGTTCAAATAACCCTGTGAGGGAAATAATGTGCTAACCTCTATATGATAGTTGAGGGACTGACTAATCACATGTTAACCTGTAAGTGGTGGAGGCAACCTTAACCCAGGCTGTCAAATGCATAGTCTGTGCTTTCGACCACTCAACCAGCTGTCATTAGCTGTGACCAGAGTGGTGAAGCTACTGCCTTGATGGGAAGATTCCCTGCACTGAGGGCAGCCAGCTCTCTGACCACCTGTGAAAAACAAAACAGCACAACATTAGAACCACAGGACTTAGGTCGAATGCTCAATGTTATTTCAGTTTTGAGATCCATGCTTCTCATTAGTATCAGAAAATTCATTTTTATATTTTTCAGTTTTGTAAAATAATAAGGGTAGAATGCAAAAAAGTTCAAGTAACTGCACAAATATCCCTGTACAAAGAGAGCGCGTAGAGCTGCAGACACGGGGGACCGTAGGTCACTGGGTGGTGCTGTCACGTCGTAGCTCAGAGTGTTTATTATTCAGCTACCGAATGACGGCGGCCATAGAAAATTGAGAGGGAGACAAACCGTAGGAGACTCTTAACTCTAGGAAACAAACGGAGGTTTGCTGGAGGGGAAAAGGGTGGGGAGATGGGGTAACTGGGTGATGGGTACTAAGGAGGGCACTTGTTGTGATGAGCACTGGGTGTTATATGCAACTGATGATTCACTAAATTGTACCTCTGAAACTAATAAAAAAAAAGGTGGGTTTTTCTGTGGGGGCATCAATGAATTATGCACAAAATGCACAAAGGGGTGAGCTGAACAAAAGCCTAATGTACAAAAGCTATAATCATGCATTGAATTTCAACTAATGCTTTTTACCACTAACATGTCTTATTTAGGGGTGTCAAAAGCAATTTTAGAAGGTGCTGGACCAGCTGTGGAAAACGAATGTGCTGTACTAGGTATGGTTACATGCTGCTTTTGGTTACCACCCATAGCAGATTAGAGGGCTGGGAATACTATAACAGGACCTACGAGAGGAGTAGGTGGTGAGAGCTTAGCCAAGAGGTTGATTCCCTGGGAGAGCAGATCCAGGGGGTGTGACTTTGTGGCTGTGCGAAGTGGTCCTTCCTCCCACCATCCCACCTGGCTCTTCCTGACTATTAAACAGAACCTGGGCGTGGGTCCTAATAGTCCAGCCTCCACCACTTATTGAGGGATCCTGGGCCTGCCATCTAATCTGTAAGAGCTTTGTTTCTCTTACCTGTAAGACGGTTCTAGATTCTACTCACGAGTCAGGAGTATTGTAATGGCTGTCTCACAGGTGGTTGTGAGGATCAAGACAATGAATGCGAAGACTTGCATGAAGTGCTGTATAAATCATCTTTCACTTTCCCCAACCTTGTTCTACTTGCTATAACACATCCTCTACCTGACATGAGTCAAGGTGGAACTTGGGTGGGTCTGAGGTGTTTTCTGACACCAACCAGTTCTCCAATTCTAACACTGTCTCCCTGTAAAGTTAGCATTGGATCCCACAAGTTAAAGGGCTCAGTCTCACAAGACACCCCCTCCCACTCCAAACGCCAGTCACAGGTCCCAGGGGGCACCTGCACTTCTGACCCATCCCCTATAAACTCAGGCATTCACAAAAACCCTTTCTCAGGTTTGACAGTACCCTAGAATGACTCACAGAACTCAGGAAAACACTTGTCTTACATTTTCCAGTTTATTATAAAGGATAGAACTCAGGAGCAGCCACATGGAAGAGATGCAAAGGGGAAGGTGTATGGGAGGGGGCTCGGAGCTTCCACACCCTCCCAGGTGCACCACCCTCCCATCACCTAGGTGTATTTACAAACCTGGAAATCCCCAAATCTTGTTATTTAGGGGTTTTTATGGAGGTTTCACTGTGTAGGTGCAGTTAATTAAATCATTGGATTTTGTGATTGAGGTCCCCAGAGGTCAGGGTGTGGGGCTGGAAGTTCCAATCCCCTAATCATGGCTTGGTCTTTCTGGAGACCAACCTCCATTCCGAAACTAACTCCAGAACCCTCAAGAATCATCTCATTCGCTTATAAAAGACACTCTCGTCACTCAGGAGATTCCAGGGTTCTTGGAACTCTGAGCCCAGAACCAGGGACAAAGATCAAATACTTATTTTTTATTATATCACAGTGGGGAACCTGTAAGAGTGATCATAGACTATTTATCCTCCAAAACGAGGACTCATGCCTTGCTGAGTAGAGAGTCAGCTATGAGTGTGATTTAAAGAAGTCACAGGGTCCCGTGTTTGACAAACAGTCCCCAACTGACCTGCTTTTGTGCCTGAAACTCCTATCTTGATAGCTCTCCTCTGATTAAGACATTTTCTCCTCAGTGAATATATTCCTGGAGAGGGATCAGAAGGTAATATTGCTCAACAACATGAGGACGTTAGCAGGAATTGTGGGCTGGAAGAGCTAGATGTACCTTGGAAGGCAGAAGCAAAGAATAAAGTGGGGTTGGACAAGCTGGAAAAGTCTACTGAGGCTGCCTGGGAGGGGCCAGCCAGTGGGACGCAGGGAGTGCCTGGGCAGGGTGGGTGGGCAGGGGCTCACTCTCCTCCTGCATTTGCCTTAGCCTTGCCTTCCTCAGGTCCTTCCTCGGTGCCTTAAAACATGCCCTGATCATGTCCATGTGCTCGAGAGCTCTCAGGGACCTGGGAGAGGGACCTCCACACCACCGAATGCGTTGCTTTTCTTTCCTTGAAAAACTAATCTAGCTGAATGAGCATATAAATTGCTCTTCTGGACAACAGCTTGGGGGTTAAGAGGGCTGGACACTGACTGTTTGGATTCAAATCCCAGGCTATCTTTGCTAGTGACCTTACCTCTCTGAGCTTCTGTTTAATCTGTGAAATGGAGGAAACAGTCCCTACCTGATAGCCTGTTTTGAGGACTGAGTAGATTAAGGCAGGTAGAGTGCTTTTGAATAACACCCCAAATATTCAACAATGTAGTTGTCGAGTTAAAGAAGCCTGGTTGTAAAGAAAATGAGCCTGTCACAGTCCCAGTGAGTGAAACCAGCTAGATGGAGGGAGGCTGGACTTGGTCAGGAATCATCACAGCTTTTCCTGATGGCAGATGTTTTCGGGTCTCGGTGATCATCTTGCTGCTTCTTGTAAGTAACGTGCTGTGTGTTTCCTTTTCTTCCTCTTGTTCTAGCTGCACAGCCTCACAGAGATTTCATAATTACACAAGGTGGATACTTAATGTGCAAGATAATAATTCATGTGCTTGGGGAAAATGATGTCAGGAAAACGGTTTCCACTGTTCTAGAAGAGTGTGAGCAGAGGAAGTACACTTCGGTTTCCCTTCCAGCCATCGGAACAGGTTTGTAGCCTCTCATCATTCAGCGATTCTGAATAACCCACATTCCTTTAGACTTAGTCTCACTGTTCGTGAATTCAGTGCTGAGTCCAGGCAGCGATAGTGATGTAAATCAGAGAGTGGGCAACCTTGCAGACCCTGAGGGCCATCTCTGGGACCTATGCTTCTTTCATACATCTTTATTCTTTATTGTATGTTCCCCAGGTATCTTTCCATGTTTGACCCTTAACATCACGGTGTTCTTACTGTTCATTCTTTTCCTTTGGACGATTCATTTGCTCTTGTTATATTGGTTACCCTTTCTGCACTGACTCTCAGATCAGCATTTCTTCTTTCCCCAGATCTCCTCTGGCAGATTTCTGTTACCAGAAACTTTATAGCAGAATCCAAACTCATCCTCATCATCCCTTGCAAACAGCTACCTTTCCTGAGTTGTCTCATTTTCTGGTTTCCTCCTTCAGTGGTGCTGCCCTTGCTTCTTTGTGTCCCCTGACCCCGCAGTCAGCACATTCTACTAAATCTTCTCCGAGGGGTTGTTCAGTTTCACCCTTCCTTCTGGTTTCCAAACCCTTAATACCTCCCCCATTGGATTGACTGCTGCATCTCCCACTGGCTCATTTGCGCATTCATTAGATTGAAATGCTGTGTCCCAGGCCCACTGCAAGTTCCTAGGCATAAAATCATGAAGAGGATGCAGTTGCTATCCTTAAGCAACAAGCTCAGGTCCATCCTGCTCCCAGGTTCTAGGAACGCTTTCCTCCTCATCTCTATCATAGAACACAATAATTTGCTCTTAGTTGAAGGTGTTGCTAATGATCTGCTCCCTGATTCATTCACACTCAGTTGCACAAGCTTTTTAAAAGGGCCTGGGAGGGCCCTAATAATGCCATCACATGATTATATGATTTACTAAAGCTTATTTTAACCACTGTGGATTAGGATCACTGTTTCTTCCCACTTTGACTTCTCAGACTTTTCCTGGCACTGAGCATTGGAAAGGCTGCAAGCATTTTTGGAATATAGCTAAGAAGAGTTGAGTTGGGAATATGGTTTCCAAAATTTCAAAATGTATACTTTATTGTGATTTCTTTTTTGATTATATTCACTTTTATGTGTAATTTTATATTTTTATTTTATACTCTTTTTCTGAGATGTATAGGTTTCAAACCCTGCAAAACCTAGGCCCACCCCTGACTCTTAATTTCCAACATTTTGCAGATGAGAATTTGACGTATTAATGTACAAGGTCACATAGTTAGTAAGCAACATAACTAGGTTCAAACCCAGGCAGCCTGGTCTGCACATTTCAACCATTACATTTTTTTTACATTACTTGGTTTTTGTTACCATTATGCTCTTAATTACTATATTCTTAGCTGTCACATTCTTATCTCCCCATTACCCTCTATTTATTAGCTATTACCTTCTATTATCACCCCAATTTTATAGCTGAGTAAATTGAAGTTTGGAAGTGGTGTGGGCTGAGTTGTATTCTCCCTGCCAAATTCATATGTTGAAGCTCTAATTCCCAGTACCTCAGAATGTGACTGTATTTGATGAGAGGGTCTTTCAGGAGGTAATTAAGTTAAAATGAGGTCATTAGGGTGGTCCCTAATCCAATATGGCCAGTGTCCTTGTTAGTTAGGAGATTAGAACATCCATAGGTAGAGCGAGAAGACCATGTGAAGACACAGGGTAAAGACAGCCATCTACAAGTCTCATAGAGAAGCCTCGGAAGAAACCAATCTTTCCAATATCTTGATAGCAGACCTCTAGCCTCCAGAATTGTGAGAAAATAAATTTCTGTTGCTTAAGCCAAGTCATGGCAATTTGTCATGGCATCCCTAGCAAACTAATATAAGAGGGATCAAATGACTTAGCCAAGATCACACAGCTAGTCTGTGGAGAACCAGGACATGAACCCAGGTCTTCTGCACCCAGATAACCTGCTCTGTTCTCTGCGCTGCCAATGCCCTTCAGTTAAAGACCAGCGGGAACACACACTATGAGGAACTATGCAGCATCTCACCAAGAGGTCACTAAGGACTTATTAATGGATTTGAGCTTGTGTTGGGTAGCTTTGTGGCGGTCTCAACTACGTGGGTTTTTGCTCTGGATTGGATACTTTGAGGAAGACGGCATAGTTCTATGATTGGATATCTTACCTGGAAGGAGAGAAGATTATGGCTGAAGTTGTAATTATTAATGAAACAGCACTTGCTCCTATTAGTCAAGATGGGGAATGTTTGGCCATTTTTGTGGTTTGGATAGTGTTCATATTCTTGCCTGTGGTCAGACATGATTATTCAGTGGTTGTGTTTGGCTAAATTCATCACAGCCACAGAGTGGTTCCATGGGATGACGTTCTATGAAATTGTTTATGTTCAGCCAGAGAACATGAAGACACAGCTCTGAGTGCCAGATCCGTTTCTGGCTGTCGGGCTGCTTGCTTCTTTCTCAGCACCAAAAACCGCATTTGCCAGATCTCATCACTTGACTAACACCAGCTAAAGCTTCTTCTGGTCACTTAAAAAAATGATTCTTTTTCAGGCAATGCTGGAAAAAACCCAACCACAGTCGCCGATGACATGATCAATGCTATTACAGACTTTGCACAGAAACATCCCACCCCGTCGTTACAAAAAGTGAAAGTTGTCATCTTTCTATCTGAATTGCTGAATGTATTCTATGACAACATGAAAAAGAGAGAAAATTCCACATCTCCTGTCCTTCAGTCCACATGCTTTGAGACTGCATGTAAGATGATCTTCTTTAGAGAATCATGTGGTTATCTCTCCTATCACTTAGCAGATGTGTCGATATTAATGCTCATTGTTTTATCAGTTTTAGGATTCTACAGACAGCCTCCTATAATATATGGGAAAAGTACAAGAACTATGGAACGCCGCCTCCTGACTGCTGATTATTCTTCTGTGGGGCAAAATCGCTCCTGGAAAACAGGAATTGCAAAGGAACAGAAAGAGAATAGAAGTAAGGAAGCAGAAAGAGGGGGATAGGCTTTGAACATCCTAGCCAGTTATCTCATTATTGACTTAATGGGTTAGTATTGACCCTCAGTGCTCCTTGTAGCTGTGAACTGGCTGACCAATATTGGTTTATGGATTATCCAGTGCTAGAGAAGTTAGCCTGGGAATAGAAGCAGATGGAAGAAGGGAGTGGTCAGGGTCATTTGGTTGTACTACTTCATGAGCAGGCAGATTCCCAGTTGCTTCTCTGTAAGGTATGTGTTTGTGCATTATGTTTAAGTATCTGTATTGACCTGCTCCTCTTTCCCCCATTTTGAGGCTTCTGTACTGCTGTGAAAATAGTTAGAAAAGCAGCCTCCTCTTGCAATCCCGGTTTTTGCCCATTTTAAGCACTCACTCATAGAGCACTGTGAGTTTTACTAGTGATGAAATGTACCTGTCGTCAGCAGCCTCCCTAAACTGGAAATGGTTGCCTGACACTGCCAGGAGGAATTTCAGTTCTCTCTGCACTTACGTCTTGACAACAATTCTTTTCAATGTGCCTTCACACACAGCACATGTTAAGAGCTAATATACACACAGTAAATAAAAATGAAAATAATAGTTGGATCTGTTAATGCTCTTGCAACAGCAAGCAATAGAAAATCCAATTTAAGCTGGCTTATGGAAAAAATGAAATTAATTGACTCACTGGACTATAAAGTCCAGGCATATCTGGCTTCAAGTCCAGTTTGATCCAGGTGCTCATATTATATAATCTAGACTCTGACTTTCTTCATCTCTCAGTCTCTTCTCAGCTGTGTTTTCTTTATCCTCAGGTTTCACATGGTGAAAGATGACTGCTAACAGTTTCAGGACCATATCCTTACATGGTCAGATCCAATAGGAAAGGGTATATCCAGGGGTAATATATTCTCATCATCAAGAACATGATGCCTGGGAACAGAGGTGTTCACATAGGGCTGAAATTCCTTCTGACACAATCGGCTTAGGTCATCGTTGCAGCTAGGGAACTGGAATTATACTAATCAGCCAATCCAGAGTCACATGCTCTATCCTTGAACTGAAGGGGATTGATCACTCTGAAGCAACCGGGAGGAGTTGTTCACCAAAGGAAATTCAGGATGCTTTTACCAGAAGAGGGGGAAAAGGCTGCTGGGCAGTTAAAAATAATATATACCTACTAGAGGGGCACCTGGGTGGTTCAGTTAGTTAAGTGTCTGCCTTCATCTCAGGTCATGATCTGGGGGTCCTGGGATTGAGCCCCCCATTGGGCTCCCTGCTCAGCAGGGAGTCTGCTTCTCCCTCTCCTTCTGCCCCCTCCCCCTGCTCCTGCTCTCTTTCTCTCTCTCAAATAAGTAAGTAAAATAAATAAAAAAAAAATACATACCTACTAGAGTATCTAGGGATATATAAAACACATACCTATGTATAAAAATACATACCTAGTAGAGTATCTAGGGATATATAAATTAATATTTTCCCCCTTTGGTTTTTGCAGAGGAAAATTTATATTTAAATATAAGAACAATAAGTCCTTATAAGTGAAAAATTAACTGAAACTGGTTCATCCATTCCCTGCTTACACCAAGAATTTAAAATGACTTATGAAATTTAAAAAATAGACAGAGGCACCTGGGTGGCTCAGTCAGTTAAGCATCCGACTCTTGATTTTGGCTCAGGTCATGATCTCAGGGTCAAGATGGAGCCTCAGGTTGGGCTCAGCACTGGGCGTGGAACCTGCTTAAGATTCTCTCTTTCCCTCTCCTTCTGCCCCCCCTCCCCCATTTCTCTCTCTTAAAAAAAAAAAAAAGACAGGAAAGTTAAAGAGACAAGCAAAAAAGATAACTAAACAGAGCAGACCAGTGACCCAATGGCACTTGGGGCAAAAACAAACAACAACAAAACTACCTTACATAATCTTTGTTGTTAGATGAGAGGAATAATGCAGATAAAATGTCAGATGAAAGGAAGTTTGTTGGCAGAGATAAACTTGGATTTTAGTAAGAATTTATCGTGTGGACTTCTTTAAGAGAGAACTTACAGAGAACAACTTGGAGTTTCATTTGAGCAGATGCTTTTCCAAAGCATGTTAAAGCTATTCATTGATTCAGAGCGCTTTTACTGAGCACGTATTGAATATCAGGCCCTAGAGACACAGACCTGGGAGTTGTGTAAGTAGGTGGGAGTTGAAGCCATTGAGCGTGGATCCAGTTATCCGTGGAGACCATGAAGGTAGAGAGAGTGAAGGCTGAAGGCAGAGCCAGGATTCTTGGTATGTCACCCCACCTCTACCTGTGGAGAGGAAACTGAGGCAGGATGCACAAGGAGAGGTGCAGGAGGGTATTTATCCCAACCATCAGGTATGGGAAAGTAGAGTGACCTTTATCTTTTAAAAGAGGTTTATAGGAAAAGCACTCAGGAAGGTGCCTGGTATGTGGTAAACACTTGAAGGAAGGTAGCCATCATGTTACCTCCCATGAAGCACTGGGCTGCAAGTCACTAGATCACGTTGAATGTGCGAATACTCAGCCTTCCTGGGACTCGGTTTTCTCATCTCTAAATTGTCCATCTAGGGTCACCTTTGGTCACAGGCAGAATAAGTAGCACAGTTTGGGGTGGTTTAAGGGTGTGATTTAAGTTATTCCTCTCAAGAAAATACCCTTGTCTTTAAACTTTACTCTCTATTTTTTTTTTAAAGATTTATTCATTTTATTTTAGAGAGGGAGAGAGAGAGAGAGAGAAAGAGTTTGAACGAGCGGTGGGGAGGGGCAGAAGGAGAGGGAGAGAGAATTTCAAGCAGACTCTGCACAGAACACAGAGCCTGCCATGGGCCTCTATCCCATGACCCTGAAATCATGACCTGAGCCGAAATCAAGAGTTGGACGCCCAACTGACCGAGCTACCCAGGTGCCCCTTACTCCCTCTTTAAATATGAATACCTCTGGGATGTAGAAAAGATCAAGTTTAGTTGTTTTTTAGGAATAATAACTATGTTTATAAAGGATTCCCTAAAAGTGCTTTTACACCCTTTATTATATTTTAAACTTGAAACAATCCCATGAGGTGATAAATAGAGCAGATTTTATCAGTTCCATTTTATAAAAGAGAAAATGAAAATTCACTCAGAAGTGGTATTACTTATTCCATGCGTTTTGGCTGGTCACAGGTTGAGGCTGATCAGGTCTTCTGATTCCAAGCACTGGTATTTTCTGCTCTGCAACCTCATGACATGAAAGGAAGAGAGAGCCCAAAGAAAAACTCTACTTCCTTCTCAGCCTTGCCTGCTGTATTCAGAGAAAAGAAAGTAGCAGGTTCAAGAAGACTCTAAGACCTAGGACTCGACATGATTAGGCCAGAAGCTCTGGAGGGAGTGGACGGTGGGAAAAAGGAAAGAATTTAATTTGCACGAACTACATGTCCTGCTGTGGGAAACTTCTCCAGAAAAAACTCTTTTACAGTGGAATTTGAAGAGAGCTTCCATATTAAGGTTTGATGCTTCCCTTTGTGAACAGAACTTCGTTCCCTGGATGGACTTCCTAAACAGGAAGAATGCCTGATCGCTCTCCTAGGCCTGTATATCTTGCATTAAAAATGAGTAAATTCTGGCTTTGTAAGGAGAAATCCTTTGGCCTTTACCTGTGGTGCTTTGCCATTTTCTGGCATTTCCTTCTCTAATACAGTCTGTCCATATTTCTACTAGTCATGCTGTCTCAGCAACTTGATGTGTAGCCTCAATGTGTTAGAAGGTTCTGGAAACCATTGGAAAGCAAAGGAAAATTTTGAGCATTATCACCTTATATGAAAGTATTCACTTAGTATTTTTGCTGTTTTCTTTATTATGGGGCTTTCTCTACTTAAAAAGTAGAAGATAAGGTACAGAAAAATGTGCTTTAAATATCTTTAGCAAGGTAATCATGTTTCAGAAGAAAATAATGCACACTAAATAAAACTGATAAACATGAAAACATCAATAAATCAGCTTTCACTTTTACACATTAGGTTTTTTAAATTTTTCTTAAAGTAGGCTCCACGCCCACTGTGGAGCCCAATGTGGGGCTTGAACTCACAACCCTGAGACTGAGACCTGAACTGAAATCAAGAGTCAGATTCTCAACCAACTGAGCCACCCAGGCGCCCCTACACATCAGTTTCTTATGGAGTTAATTCCATAGAGCTTTCTGGGGAAATTACAATTTCAAGTTATAGTGAACCAAGTATACCTAAATATTTTAGCTAGGCCATTAATTAATATATGTCATATATGTCAGAACCATTCATTTCATCTGTAGATGATAAAAGAAGCAACTGTGAAATGTGTAGCTTTTGGGGGTTTTTTGTTTGTTTGTTTTTTTCAAAGACCAGGATTAGATGAATGCGAAATAAAAGCATAGGAAGTGCCCTGATTTTCAGAGATCCCTGGAAATGGATATTGTGTTTTCACCAAATGCTGACTTTCCAGGTAATCTTCCTGAACACTGGACTGACATGAATAAGCAGCTCTCCTGTGTGATCAAGCTATACCCCGGACAGTCAGAATATGACACCATAAAGGACAAGTTCTCTGACACTTGTCTTTCCTACAAAATAGAGAAGGTAACATTGTGTTAAAAAATTACTTCTTTTAACTATCAAAGAACTAACTAACATGAAAGTTTAACAAGGAACCAACATAACACTCTTCCTTCCTTTATACCTTACTATATTTAATTAGACTTACTCAAGCTCCATAGACTTCAAATATCATGGTTCATTCATTAGCAGTAATGAAGGAGACTCCCCAAAGTGACATATATATGTTTGGATACTTTCACTTACAATTTAAAAACAAACCCATTCAAACTGATTAAACAAGAAGAAATGTATGAGAAATTAATGGAAAGTCCAGAAGTAGGATGGTCTTTGGAACAGTTAGATTCAGTTTCTCTGGCTTTGCCATCCACAGGGTCAGCTTCATCTGAAGGCTGGACTCCCTTCATAATTGTAGGATAGCTGTGGATGGCAATCAGGGGGGTCTCTGCTTCCTCCATTCACATCCCATGGAAGGGACACAACCATTGGATAAGAGTCCCAGGCTTTGTGTTGAGCGGACCACTCCAACCAATCTATGTCAGGAGAGTGCTACATATGCTGATTGGCTTGGACCTGGGCTATCAAATGCCATCATTGTGTGATCCATCATGAGATTACCCTGATTGGTCAAACCCAATTAGGCTCTACCTGAGAACTATAAGTGAATCCAACTCCACCCAGACCAGCAGTTGCTGTACAATGCGGATGAAGTGGAATGGATATTCAGGGATTCCCACAATGTCCACCATGCTGCATAAAAATTTTAGCCAGCAAAGTACAGGAGTTTATTAGAAGGTCATTATCATACCATGTATATCAGAGCAGGGTGTGACATCCTAGTCATTTAAAAATCTAGCTGCTACTTCCATAAAGCTGTGTGCTTTATCACATTATAGCACTCAAGAAATTGTGTTTTCATGAGCTTTCACATGCCTGACTCGCCCACTAGACAGTGGGCTTCTTAAAGTAGGAGTTGCTTTCCTAGTACCCAGCCCGATGCCTAGCATATCATGGGACACAATACCCACTGAGTGAACTTACTTCCTGAGAAAGAAAGAGAATCAAAAGAGAGAGACTCCTGTAGAAAGGACAGAATTCAAAGGAGGAGATGCTTTATTGATGTTAAAAGCTGTTGAGAGGATAAGAACCTGGTTCAATTTTGTTTACCCAGTATCTGCAGCTTTCTTGGCTCTTAAAGGCCTTTTATTTTACCCATTTTGAAACACCTCAATTTTGGATTAATTCCATAATATATTTTCTCTCCTGCTGCGCCTAGATAAAAGCATTTTTAATTCATGGTCCCCAACCTCTGCTGGACTCTCCAGGTGCTTGCAATCCTTTATTGCTTCCTCCAGTCAACTCCCTCATGCGTTCCCTATTGCAAAATTTCAACACTCTGCTTGAGGTCTTCATCTCTCTCAAAACAATTTTCCCTCCTGCCTTTATTACTTGGCTTCTCCTCAACATCTGCTACAGGTAACCACTCCATTCTTATTTATGTATTTATTTTTAATTATTTACTGAAATTGAGGTATAATTGACAAATATTAGTTTCAGGTATGTAACATAATTTGATATTTGTATATATTGCAAATTGATCACCACAATAAGTATAGTTAACATCCATCAACATACATAGTTACAAGAAAATTTTTTTCTTGTGATGAGGACTTTTCAGATCTACTCTCTTAGCAACTTTCAAATATGCAATTTGGTATTATTAACCATCTTGTGTATTACATCCCCGTGACCTATTTCTTTTATAATTGGAAATTTGTACTTTTTGGCCCCCTCTCTCATGTTGTCTACACCCCACCCCTGCCTCTGGCAACCATCAATCTATTTTCTGTATCACTTAGCATAATGTCCATGGCAAGATGTTATGCTTTTTAATGGCTGGCTAGTATTCTATTATGTGTATGTGCATATATATATATATATATATACCACATATTCATTATCCATTCATCTATCAATGGACACTTGGGTTGTTTCCATGTCTTGGCTATTGTGAATAACGCTGCAGTGAATATGGGGGTGCACTCAATTCTTCTTGAACTCTCTTCTTTTATTTCTAGGACATCAGCCTTTCAGATTTCTTCCTCTCTTCCTAGACCTAGATTATATGGATCCCTTTCTTATGCTGTCAATCTCCATGTGTGTTCTCCTAATCCATCCCTTATCACTCTGAGAGGGAGAGATTTTTTTACTTGTCTTCCTCCCCAACTAGACTGAAAGTTTCTTGAGGGCAGAGATCCAACACAGTGCTTGATTCATAGTAGATGTTCAATAGGTGATTACTGAATGTATGTTAAATTCATTTTCTAGAAGGAAGGAGAACCAGTAGAGAATGATATTTTGAAAAAAAGTTAAAGGAGGACAAAATTTCAAGGAGGGGATGATTCATGGTTTGAAATGCTATTGAGGGTCTAGAAAGAAATAGTCATTAGATTAGGCAGTTATGAGGTGATTTATGACCATAATTAGAGCAATGCAGAAGAACTGTATTAGAAGAAGTCAATGGAATGGGTTTAGAGATCAGAAGAAGTTAAGGAAATAATTACTGAATGATTACAAATTTTTGAGTAAGAATTTGTTTTATTTTTTAAATTCATTTTTATTTATTTATTTTATTATTATTATTAATTTTAAGTAGGCTCCATGCCCAGCATGGAGCCCAACACTGGGCTTGAACTAAAACTGTGAGATTGAGACCTGAGCTGAGATCAAGATTCAGTGGCTGACTCTTGGTTTTGGCTCAGGTTGTGGTCTCATGGTCGTGAGATCGAGCCTTGCCTCTGGCTCCATGCTTAGCATGGAATCTGCTTGAGATTCTCTCTCCCTCTCCCTCTGCCCTTCCTGCTCATGCTCTCTCTCAAATAAATAAATAAATCTTAAAAAAAAAAAAAAGAGTCAGCACTTAACTGACTGAACCACCCAGGTACTCCTTATTTACTTACTTTTTTTAGAGGGGGGAGAGAGAGAGAGAAACAGAAAGAGAGAGAGAAGGGGGTTAGGAGCAGAGGGAGAGGGAGAGAAAGAAACTTAAGTAGGCTCTGCGCCCAATGTGGAGCCCGAAATGGGGCTGGATCTCACAAACCTGAGATCATGACCATGGCCAAAATCAAGAGTTGGATGCTTAACCCACTGAGCCATGCAGGTGCCCCTTGAGTAAGATTTGAATGCGAGTGAATCTCCAGGAATTCCAGGGAATATATATAGGTAAACATTTTTATATAAATTATAAGTTCTGTTATATAAAATAGGTTATAATAAGCACAATCACAAAGTATAGATACTCATAACCTAGCATTTTTCTAAAGGCAGAAAGCTACCTACTCTCTGAATTTGTTGTCTATTTGCATTTCCTTTTCCTTTTCCTTCTTCCTCTCCTCCAGTCCTCGTCCTTCTCTTTCAAACTGCTATTTTAAAATCCACAACAGGGGCGCCTGGGTAGCTCAGTCATTAAGCGTCTGCCATTGGCTTAAGTCATGATCCCAGTGTCCTGGGATCAAGCCCCGCATGGGGATCCCTGTTCTGCGGGAAGCCTGCTTCTCCCTCTCCCACTCCCCCTGCTTGTGTTCTCTCTCTGTCAAATAAATAAAATCTTTAAAAAAAATAAAATAAAATAAAATAAAATCCACAACAAACAGGGTATACTGAGCTCTAAAGTCATTTTCAAAATGTTTTGCTTTTTGTCATTTGCAGATTGAGAAGATACAGAATATATGCCTCTGGCAGAGCTACCAGATAAAGAAAAAGCACATGGACTTGAAGAATGGCCATACAGCTAATGAGAGAGTCCTGTTCCATGGGACAGATGTGGACTCGGTGCCATATGTCAATCAGCATGGCTTTAATCGCAGTTATGCTGGGAAGAATGGTAAGGAAGCAGGGAATCTGGCTGACCAGAATGAGGTGAATGATAACTCTAGTGTTGACTATTCACACCCAAGCAGTGCAGGACCACAGATGGCAGCCATCTTGTCATTATCAGGATAGAGCTCTTGGTGTTTCACCCAAAAGGAGGCTGGCAACCTTCTGAGGATAGATGGAGTGAATTTTAGAAATGATGAAAAGTGGCTTGGGTGGGCAAGAATGGCATTAAAAAATGTTGTGTCAGGTTTGGACATGGTTCTACATACTGTGATAATTTTATGTTTTTTAGGAAGGCTTTTGTCTTTCTCTTTATAGGTGCAGCCTATGGAAAAGGAACCTATTTTGCTGTTGATGCCAGCTATTCTGCTCATGATACATATTCCAGACCAGATGGCAATGGAAGAAAGCATATTTATGTTGTACGAGTACTTACAGGAGTCTACACACGTGGACATGCAGGATTAGTTACCCCTCCATCAAAGAACCCTCACAATCCCACGGATCTGTTCGACTCTGTCACAGATGATACACAAAATCCAAAGCTATTTGTGGTATTCTCTGATAATCAAGCTTACCCAGAATATCTCATAACTTTTAGGTGCTAAAAAATAGGTTGTTTCTTTCTTTCTTTTTTTTTTTTTTCATCTCAAAGAGATGATTTAGTCATCTATTTATAAGAACAATTTATAGGGTTTTTGTCTTTGCCTTTGGCTTGTTTACATAGATAAAAATCTCTCTGTTAGGTGCTAAAATGCCGAAAACAGCCTTTTAAAAATGCTCTATTGCAATTTGTAGCGTACCTCTTTTCTGAGCATATTGATGAGTGGGAGCTAAGAAATGTGGATGACATAATTATAGCTACAACTATTTACAGACACCAAATGTGTAGGAGAACAAAGAGCACATTACTTTTGTCTAGCAGAAGAAATAAGATGAATCACTTTAAAACCAAGATGTCATTGTTCTTATAGAACCTGTTAAGACATCAAACTGTGTTGGGCTCAACTGTACTATTAAATGAATAGGCTGCTAATGTGCATCTGTAACAGCTGGGAATTTTGCCTCCTGAAGGAATACTTAGTAGCCAGAGCTCAGCTAGAATGATTGAATCAAATCTGTTATGGAATAAATCAGGTAAAAATGTGTTGTACCACTGTCTAATTCTACATAGCAAATTACTACAAAATTTAGTGGCTTTGTGGGTAAGGAATTCAGGCATGGCTTAGCTGGGTCATTCTGACTTAGGGTCTCTCCTGATTTGGAGTAAAGATGTCAGCAGGGGATTCCGTCTTCTGAAGGCTTGACTGGGGCTGGAAGATCTGCTTCCAAGGTAAATCACTCAAATAGTTAGAAAGTTTTTGCTGGCTGGCAGGAGTCCTCAGTTTCTCTCTCCATGGTCCTCTCTAGGCTGCTTGCTCATGACATGGTACTCCACAGTCAGCAATTCGGGAGAGAGGAGGAGAAGGCATGATGTCTTTTATGACCTAGCCTCTGAAGTCATACTCCATCTTTTCCACAGTATCCTGTTGGTTCCACAGATCAGCTCATTCAGCGTAAACGGGAATTACATAAGGGCCTGGACACCAGTAGACAGTGATCGTTGGGGACCATCTTAGAGGCTGTATAAATGAGTGAATGACTGATACATTAATAAAATGTGAGCAGTGAAAAGGACTCTAGAGGTCATCTGAGCCCACTGTCCCCTCATCTTTCTCCTCCCCCTCCCCCACTCCCAGGGCTTAGAGCCCTCAAGCCTCTGCTTGACCACTTCTAACACTCTACATCTTAAGGATCACTCACTCCATCGTGAGACAACTTGAACTATTGGAAAACTCTTGCTTACACTGAGTTGAAATCTGTTCTTCTATGTCTATTGCCTGCGGATCACTGTCCCATGTTCTGGAGGACACAGAGCATCTCCTTCCTTTCACAGATGTGGTGGCCCTTCAGATTCGTCTCTTCCCTCTATTATACTAGAGTTAGGTAAATTCTTGAAATACTTAGCAGCTTATCCTGAAGCATCACTTATCAAGAGTTGAAGTGTTTACATAATCATAAATAAGCACATGCACATTAAAAGGAGTACAGGGAAGCTTAAAGAAAATAACTCCCTTCACCAAACTGTGTATCACTCATAACTGCAACACTCACAGGAAACCACTGCCAACATTTTTATGTCCTCCCTTCTCCTTTCTTCTACATCCACCTTCAACAAAGGCAAAGTCACACTTTATTCTATTACTTAACTATGCAATATTGTATCTACCTTTTTTCATTTAACATTATAAGTGTTACCCTCATGTTATTAATTTTTTCTGTAAACATCATCTTAATGGCCAAGTTATTCCACTATATATTTTCCTTTTATGTATATATAACTATAAAGTTTTTAAAATGTCATCATCTTTTCTTATAGTTTAGTAATCTAATTTCATTTTGCAATATATCTGTATCATTTCCCCCATGTCATTAAATATTTTACCTATCATTTTGATGGTTGCATAGTATTTTGTTGTATGTCTCCACATAAATGTCATGTCAAAGTAGGGTGCCCTATATTTCTAAATAAATATATGGTTGGATTATGAGATGCAAAGAGCATAATCTACCTTCGATGAGACAGCGCATCCTGAACTTCTTGAGGGAAACAGTCCTAGAGAGCAAAGCAAGGTTAAATAATGCTCTATTAGTGCATGGGCCTTGGCTCCCAACCCCAGTGTAGAATTCTAGTGAGCCAGGTTGGAACATAGAAGGACCGTTTTTACTTAGGTTAGGTAGGCTTTTACTTGCAATGTGAACTGCTGTCTTCTGTCTCCTCCAATGCTGTTACTCAAAGACCACCCCCCCAATTTATTTTGCTGTACTCCTACTTCACTAGAAGACAAAGAAGTCTCGAGTATAATACATCCATGTTATTAAAGTTGTGATGGTTTCTTGAGGAACAAAATATAAGCCAATCGAGAATTATTTTATTTATTTATTTATCTATCTATCTATCTATCTATCTATCTATCTATCTATCTATCTATTTATTTATTTGACAAAGAGAGAGAGAACTCTCTGAGCAGGGAGCCCAATGCGGGGTTCAATCTCAGGACCCTGGGATCATGACCTGAGCTGAAGGCAGACACTTAACCGACTGAGCCACCCAGGTGCCGCAGCTAGTTGATAATTATATAGTTATTATAAACTCCACCTTCCATCAGTCTGAAGCTAAATGCCTTTCCACCCTTTATGTCCATCTCCTTTCCAGTTGACTTGGCATTCTCCATCCATATGATTAAAATGGTCTCTACTTCTTTCCTAATAGCCCACTGTTTCAGGTTAACCCAAATTAGAAGTCTTTAAGTTTGCTAATCACTGACAAAACAGGTTTCTTTTCTATGGATTTCTAGAGTTCTGGCTGCTGGTACCTGACTGATCCGAGACCAGAGACCCTGAGGTACAGTTCTGACCGGCAGTCCGACGGCTTACTGTCCCATATATCTTCTCTCCTCTTCTCTCTTTACTTAGCATTTTTCTCCTCATTCCTTTCTTTCCCCTCCAATCTTCCCCTCATTTGTGGAAGAATGAGGACACACTCTGAATCAGAGGAAACATTTTAATTTTTTTCTTCATCTATGGTAGAGAAAGAAAACCCATGTAGTATATATGCTGATGTGTTAATTGAACACAGGGTTTGTGAATTCATTTACAGGTAATGGGTTAATTATCACATGCTGGTAAGATCATTTACAGCTAATATGAATCAATTTGATTTCTCAATAGTTTATGCGAACAAATACAGTTTCTTATAGTAAACATGCTTTTTGAGCTTAACTGATTATTCTATTTCCAAGCTGTGGAGGAAAAACTCTTGCTGTCTCTCCTTTACTCACACTACTTCCACACTCACAACACTTCTGACACCAGATGTGTGTGTTTTCCCCTCACTCTCAGCAATCCTCTGCAACATTAGCTGGGGGTGCCACAATTTCACTCAAGTCTGACACTGTCTACCTGGAAATAACGTCAGATCCCACAGGGTAAGGGCTCAGCCCCACAAGACTGTCTCACCTCCTCCTGTACTGCAGATGCCAACAGCAAATCCCAGGTTGTTCCCTGTACTTCTGCCTGACTGGCTATAAATCCTTGTTCCCACAACCCCCTCCTTGGGTTTGACCATTTGCTAGAATGGCTCACAAAACTCAGGGAAACACTTATTTACATTCACCTGTTTATTCTGAAAGGATATGATAAAGGATGCAGATGAAGAGTTACATAGCGCAAGGCACATAGGAAGGGTCACAGATCTTCCATGTTCTCTCAGAGCATGTCACTCTCCCAGCACTTTCACCTGTTTTCAACTTGGAAGCTCCTGTAGCTCATACCTTGGGGATTTTTGTGGAGACTTCAACACGTAGGCAATGAATGATCATTAACTCAATTTCTAGCCCCTCTCCCCTTGCTGGAGAATGGGGGATGGAGCTCAAAGCTCCAACCTTCTAATCATGGCTTGGTCTTTTTTGTGATTGGTTCCCATCCAGGAGACCCGCAAAAGTCACTTCATTAGAACAAAAGATACTGCCACACCCAAGAAATTCCAAGGCATTTAGGAACTCTGTGTCGGGAAGTAGGGTCAAAGACCAAATTTTAGAAAAAAGATGCTTGCTTCTATTGCTCTCATCAACTTGGAAATTACGAGGCTTTTAGGAGCTCTAAGCCAGGAACCAGGGGCAGAAACCAATGTATATTTTTTATTATCTCACACAAGCTTTGGACTTTTCTGTCACTCTTAGTGAACGTATGAAGGAAATCTTATAACTAAACTCACAGAGTGAATAACATTTTTTTTAATTGAAGTATAGTTGACACAGAATGTTACATTAGGCGTGTATGTACGTATCTATACGTTATGCTAAGCTCACGAGTGTAGCTCCCATCTGTCACCATACAACACTATTACAACATCATTGACTATGTTCCCTATGCTGGACCTTTTAGCGACTAACTTAATTTTAAAAATCTTTTGCTCCATCTCCCTCTTTATCTTACCTTTGTGGGCACCAGGATATAAATAACCTCTAACTTTCTTTTCCTTATCTTGTTAAAAAGGACATTTTCAACATAGTAATTTATGTCTCCAAAGCCCCTTGTTACCTACAATTATAATTCTGTAACGAAGACCTGTTGAATAAGTAATTTTGACCTCCACAAAATCCACCCCCACATCTTCAGTTCAAACCTTCCCTTTTATGTGCCCAACGTGCTCCTGTTTCTCCACACCCAAACCCAGCATCCCCTTCACCTCACAACACCTTGTTCACATCCCACATAGTCAGATAGAATACACTAGAAAGGATTTGCATAATACCAGAATAAACTTTCTGCAAAAATTTTAAAAAAGAATGAAAATGCTTCTCTGTAGGCTTTTGTAGTTCATAGTGCAAGATGGTGTTTCTTTCATATTAACTCTGCTAAAACACCAAAGTACTGAGATAAGGAAAGTACTCACCAACACAAAATCAACAACATAAATTGAACAAATCTGGGGTCAACAAAAAAAATAAAATTTTTCTGTATAATGAAAAAAGACCCCTTCCAGAAGGAATTTTAGAATCTAGAACACATTAAGATAATAATGCCTGCCTTGCTACTCTCCAGGGTTAAATAAGACACTACCAAAATTATGTTGAAAAAAATATATATTGTAGTTTTAAACTAAAAATTGGAAGGCAAGACACAAATAGTACAAACTATAGAGGCAAAGTAAATATATTTGATTACATTAACATTTAAAAAATTGAGGTTTGAGTTTGGGGCTCCTGGCTGGCTCAGTCAGAGGAGCGTGTGACTCTTGATCTCAAGGTTGTGAGTTCAAGCCCCACACTGGGTATAGAGATTACTTTAAACAAAAATAAAAACTTTAATAAATAAATACATAAAAATTGGGGTTTAAGGTTAAGACTGAATATATGCACCTAATTTTGCTTCCTTCCCAAACCCTAGGAAAGCCTCAGTGAAGGGATTTAAAGGACACATAAGCCCTTAACAATAGGGAGAATAGAAGAGAAGATGATAGCAAAAAGCATTTTAGAAGCTAGAAAGCAGATAGATCTGTGCTAATGACTATAGACAGCTCAACCTTAAGCTAGAAAGTGGGAGGAAAGCTGAGAACCATCTGCTTTACCCTTGAAAATCTCAGGAACTGACAACATCTGAGCCTCTGGAGCTGAGTGAAGCTGAGAAGAGCAGGTGCTAACATAAGGACAGGATGAAAGCCATTTAGGAAACACTTAAATCCCTAGATAACTCTTCCCACCCTCCTTGCCCAGGGTGAATACCTCTTATCTACCCCAATGGAAATCTGGAGGCTCTTTTCTGCAGATGGTAAAATAGAGAATCTCTAAGCAGGACACCAGGCACAGATGAGGTCTTAGGTACCATAGCAAAAAAGAGAGGAGTCAGTGGCCAAATGCAAACCAAATACTAAATCCGAGAGGACATCTCTCCCAAAGCCACCTTTCCCCACTTGACTCCCCAGACAGCAGCAGCCAGACTTTTACTCTTCAGACAAGAGACTGGACATTTCTACTTTACACCTGTCCATGTCAAGAGGAAATTTTACCCTAAAGATACTGATAGCAGAGATTCCCCAGTACAGACCACCAAAACACATACAGTGAAACCCAAAGTTGATAAGCCCCATTCACTAGCTCGTAGCTTCCAATAGCTTTTTAGACTTCTGAGAATAGACAACCAAGGTTTATCAGACATTTAAGGAAAGCCTCTAACTCAGAATATAAAACTTAAAGAAAAAAACTATTATTGGAAAGAAAATTCTGTTACAAGGGACATTTTTTACAAAGATTTATTTATTTATTATTTGAGAGAGAGAGAGCATATGCATGAGCATGCATGGGAAGAAGGCAGAGGGAAAGAATCTCAAGCAGACTCCTCACTGAATGTAGAGCCTGATGCGGGGCTCAGTCTCATGACCCTGAGAGCATGACCTGAGCCAAAATCAAGGGTTGGACACTGAACCAACTGAGACACCCAGGCGTCCCACAAGGAACATTTTTTTTTTATTTTAAAGATTTTTATTCATTTATTTGGCAGAGAGCACGAGCACAAGCAGCAGGCAGAGGGAGAAGCAGGTTTCCCGCTGGAATCATGACCTGAGCCAAAGGTAGATGCTTAACTGACTGAGCCACCCAGGCTCCCCTAGGAACATTTAAGAAACAAACAAGAGGTCTTAAAATTAAAAAGTGTAATAGCAGAAATGAAAAATATAGAAGATGAAGTTGATAATTTCTGAAATTTTTCAGAAAGTAAAAGCATACAAAACAAAAGAAAGAAAACAAGGATACAATTAGGAGACCACTCCAAAGGGCCCAACATCGGATTAATAGTAATTCCAGGAAGAGAGATCAGAAAGCAAAGAAGAAATCATCAATAAAAGAAATTATTCAAAAAAATCCCCAAACTAAGGGACATGAGTTTCCAGATTGAAAGTCTGTACTTAGTGCTCAGTACAATACAAAAAAAATGGACCAATCCCAAGGTATACTGTTGGAAATTTTCAGGAACACTAAAGACAAACTTCTGGAGGGAAGAAAGTAAAACATTGAAAGGATCAAGGACCAGAATGGTTTCAGATTACTCAACACCAACACTGGAACCTTAAAGATAGTGAAGCAAATGCTTTCAAAATTCTAATAGAGAGATTTCTAGCAGTCAATATGGGCAAGAGCCTTTTGGTCATTGTAGATGACAATGCAAGGGAAAATATAAACCTGTGCAAATAAAAGAAATTCTTCCAAATTTCCACACGTGTTTGGATATGCATGGAATATCTCTGGAAGGATATCCTACACAAGAAGCAATGACTATCAAAATCACAAGTGCATTATCCTTGACCCAGCATCCGACTGCTTGGAATTTGTCATACAGATAAAAGCAAAGAATGAT